AAACTAATATTAGTTACTACTAAGATTGATGTAAAATATTTAGAAAAAGATAAAGAAAAAAGATTAACTTTGTGTTCATCAAATTGGTTGAAAAGATTGAAAAAAAAACAAATTGATGGGAGAGACTAAGAAAATGTGAAAAACTGAAAGATAAGGAGAGAATAATATAATAAATTAATTGATATAAAAGATTGAGAAAGATAAAAAAAATTAAAAAGTGGGTAGAAGAAAAATAAAAATTGGTGAAATATAAAAAAATAACCTTATATGTAATAGAAAAAGAAAATGAAATACTTTTAAAATATTAATATTTTAAAATTTAAATTTAAATATAAAGTCGTGGGCGGGGATGGGGCGGGGTCGGTGTGGATTGCATTACCCATCCCCGCCCCGCCCCGACTTTTAAAGCGGAAACTCCGAACCCGACCCGCCCCGGTCAACTCGGGGTTTCCCAGTCAACTCGGGGCGGGACGGTCGGTCCTCACGGTGCATGGTTTAATTGCCATCCCTACCCGCATTATTTGTGTAATGTTGATTTGCACGATAAATAAAACAAAATACAAATACATTTCAGACACATTTTCAATGTTTATATAATATTTTTTTGTGAGCTAGGCATGGTTCAGGAAGACAATTGGCCATATTGCAATTAACCTCAAATAATTTATGATTCATAATTTATACTCATGACGCCAATTGGCCATGTATCGTAAACTCGTTATTTATACTTTATAAATTATACTTAACTAATTCAAGTTTATTTAGTCATACTATTCTTCTTGTCGCCATTTATATATTGATGATATATTATCAACATTATTCTAATCTAATATTTTTCTAATAAAGAAAATACACTAATAGATTAATTAATTCATCAATGATATATTTATTTAATTAAAAAATAAGAAATTCACATGATTAACATATTAAATAATATTAATACGGATATAATTTATTAAATTTTTGTTAATACTAAGTGAAGTTTGCTTGGTAGATTTGAATAGTGAATCATGGTAAATACTACCTTACTATTTGATTTTGTTTTTTTTTTTAGATTTCAAATAATTTAAATAGAAATGACAATTAAACCCAGTATATGTGGGGATTGACCCATCTCTCGTCCCGAGTTTGACGGGGAAAATTCGAGTTGACCGGGGACGGGTTCGAGTTTTTTCTTCTTTAAAAAGTTGGGGGCGAGGATAGGTAATGCAATCCCCACCCCCACCCCCACCCCGTCCTCGTCCCAAATTTATATTTAAATTTAAATTTTAAAATATTAATATTTTAAAAGTATTTCTTTTTCTTTTTCTATCACATGTAAGATCATTTTTTTTATATTTCATCATTTTTATTTTTTTTCTACCCATTTTTTAATTTGTTTGTTTTTTTAATCTTTTATATCAATTAATTTATTATATTATTCTCTCTTATCTTTCAATTTTTCGTACTTCTTTAATCTCTCTCATCAATTTTTTTTTTCAATCAATTTGATAAACACAAAGTTAATTTTTTTTCTTTATCTTTTTCTAAATATTTTACATAAATTTTAGTTGTAACTAGTATTATTTTATTTATAATTTATATTTATTAGATTTTATTATGTCATATTTTTTTATCTTATTATTCTTATTTATCATATATTAAATTTTATTTTAATAAAATAATTTTATTTTAAAATATTAAAAGAAATTAATAATTTAAATTGTTATTCTTTTGAACTAATTAAATAATTAAATATTTCTTTATAAACAATATATTTTATATTTTTAAATAACAACTTAAAAATAAATTAACTGAAATCAAATATTTGAATATAAATAATAATATTATAAGTATTTAAATATTTGAATATATAATTATAATAATAATATGAATATTATAAATATATATATATATATAAATAAAAAATGATTAAATATTTTTTCATATATATATATATTTTAATATAAATATAATAAATTAAAATATATATTTAATTAATAATAATTTTAAAATTATAAATATAATAAAATTAATTTATTATAAATATAATTATTTTTAAAAAAATAAGATAGACGGAGAACTTACCTAAATCTAGCCAGGATGTAACTTAATGTAACTTAATTTCTAATGATGACACAAGGGAACGATTTAAAAAATTCAGGACCAGAATCAAGAAGACAAAACCAGCCTAACTTGTTGCTATGCATAAATTTAAACCTCAATTGAAGAAATATTAATTTCTTTAAAAAAGAATTAAAGAATACGGATGTTGAGAAATGGTTTCCTAGATAGATTTTGAGCACAATAACTATATAAAATGGAGTCCTTTTCCTCCATCTATCCTCTGCTGTCTGCCAAAGGGGGAATGGAAAGTGGTTTGCGATGAAGAAAGTGGAGGAGGAGAGTGGTTTCACGCGCCTTGCCTCATTCGTCTGCGAATGAGGAAGAACTCCAAGCTATTGAAGCTTCTCTTTCAAACCCTAACAAATTACGTCGATTCAACGATCACACTCCCCGCCGCCGCTTGCCCACATCGCTTATCGCTCTTCAAGCCTCAAATTCTTCTTCTTTATCCCCTCTTCCAGGTTCTTTACACTAATTACTCAAATCATCGCAACTAATTGTCAAAAGAACATGTTCATTATGGTATGAATGTTAATTGAAGTATCTTCTACAAATTGTTTGGATATCTTTACTTTTAGTTATGTTCTTGTCCTCTGCTTCTGCTGAGGTATCTCTGAAGAGGACTTAGTGTTTTCATCTTCTGCTTGCATAAAAATGCTTGAAAGGAATTCCATTTGTTCTTCGAAACAGTCAATTAGTTGTAGCAACGATCCAAGTCCTTTAACTTGATGACCTCCCTATGAAAAGGGCTAGAATAAGGGAAGGATGCTTATGAAAAGGGTTAGAATATGGGAAGCAATAAGTATTCTCCATATTATTTGAATACAAGCACATATTTTAAAGAGAGAAGACCTCATATTTCAAAGAGAGAAGACCAAATATGTGAATTTCATCATCCTCCAAATGGAGAAGGACTAATGCTTTACTTTATTTCAGTTTTTAAGTTTGTTTAAATAATAACTTAATACTTTATAAAATTGCCTGACCAAATTTGGGTTAATCAATTAACGGGCTTTAGTTTAGTTTTGTTTGAAGTTGTAACAAGGATCTAATTGAAAACTTAGGTATCAGTCTTGGAGACTTAGCTGATTGACTTTTAGTTGTCATAATTTTAATTACAATCACGTCATTAGATAGTTTTCAATTTCTAGATTAATGAATCATTATTAACATTTATGTGCATCTATTAAATAGTTTTTAATTCTTAGATTAATGGATTATTATTAGGATTTATTTTCCTTGAGCCTTTGTAACTCTAATAGCAAAAGCTTTGTATATAAACTGAACTATTTTTATCAGATATAACAAGTTGAGTTTTATTAAAAAAAATTCGAGTTTTGCCCTTTTATCTTAGTGAGAGTGATTTTCCTATGTTCTTGAGTGATTCAAAAATTTTTGGTTGTATCAAAGGACTTTCACATCCTTTGTGAGTTGTCTTCCTTAAGACAATTGATTCTTTCCTTCGATCTTTCACATTCAACTTTTGTCCTTTCTCCACCAAAACCCAAAAATATCAATTTTGTCCAGATTTATTTTATGGTCATAATTTTCGTTTTACTTGTCCAAATTGATTGTTTCTTGAGCCTAAATTGAAATTTAGAAAAAGAACTTTTATCTCATTTTTTAATCACCTCAATCGGAGTTTTATAGCTTGAGATATCGACGTTTCAAAAATACTACTTAACCTTGAAACTTTCACAACTTTCTAATTCACCTTCTTATTAATTTCCTACAAGGTTCTAACCCTAAAGATCATAAGTCAACCCTTGTGTAAATAGGGTTCATATCACATGGGAAGGCATTTGAATATACAAATATTATTCAATCCCATTGAAACCCAGAAAGCCTACATTCTCTCTATCTGCTGAATTTAATTTTGAATAAATTGACATTTGCATTTCCTCTAAGTTTTTTATTATTTTCCATCTTGCACAGGCTATTCAAGAATGAGATTACCTGTAATGAAGTTTAGTGGTCAAATTCTATACAGCAGGACTTCTAATGCTGTAGAAAAAGCTGCGACACAACTCTTACAAGTTCTGGATGAAAAAAATACAAAGATAAAGCAAATTGCAATTGGACTTGACATTGAGTGGAAACCCTCCTTCAGAAAAGGTTGATTCAGAATCTTATTTTTTTTTTTTTTTCAATAGCTGCTGATTGTGGCATAAGCATTTACCTGTTAGTATTGAGTCTGTTACAATTGCTGCCATTTGCATATTGATATGTATTTGATAGAGTAATGATAAACCACCCCATTTTGAAACGGATTGGAATATAAAGGAAAAAGAGATGAGAAGAAGAAGGGATAGGGAAATGACGTGATGTGTAACTAGTGATGTGATGGAAAAGAGAGATATAATAAGAAAATGTGGTGAAAATGAGATGGAAGAGAAAGTGAGTGTATGTTGATTATTTTCTTGATATCAGGATGTTTTTATTGGTTTCGTTAACAAGGAATTTTGCCTGTTGTTGTTCGCCTAGTTTAGGTTTTATAATCTGTATTTTTATATTATATAGAATATAATGTTTGAAGGCTAGAATCAGATCCTTGCTCAATTTTTTAGAACTTTGATGGACTGTCTTGATGAGGAATTTCAAATTTCCTAGGAAGCAGAGCATTTCTATCGGTATTGCAAATTGTAATGTAGATGTAGTAAAAGACCTGATTTTGGTATCTCGGGGGATTAAAGTTCTAATGCCAGTTAATTGTTTGGCTCCTCCCTCATAGTTTATGGATTATCTTTTCTCTAAATGCTTTGTTGATCTGCAGAAGAGCCTTCTCTTTTCTTCCCTATAAAAGATTAATTCTTAAAAAAAAAATCATAAATTCAATTACTGAATCACTGTTGTATAAAACTTTTATTGGTGTTCCACCCGGAAAGGTAGCCGTCATGCAGATATGTGTGGACAGTAGTCATTGTCATGTTCTGCATCTAATTCATTCCGGAATCCCTCAAAATTTACAGCTTTTGCTTGAAAATCCCGAAGTCATGAAGGTTTCAATTTCTGTTAAACTGGATTTCTTTATCTTGTTTTTTCTTTTATGTCTACGTGAACTAAGTATTATACAAATTTTGATTTGCACAAGGTTGGAGTTGGGATTCACGGTGATGCTACGAAGTTTTTTAGAGATTATAAAATATCTGTTAAAGGTATGATGGATCTTTCTTTTCATGCTAATAAAAAGCTTGGTGGTGATCACAAGTGGGGTCTTTCATCTTTGACAGAAAAACTTTTATCGAAACAGGTATTCTTTGAATCCAAATTTCTTAAATTAGTATCAGTATATATCTAATTACAAATGATATTTATATTTGTTTGCCATAAACAGCTTTAATTACTGTTTAGTACTAGTTCAATAAGATTTTGTTTTCCTCTCAAGAAAACAATGACGAAAATTTAACTTGTGCAGTACTGCACTCAAGGCGTAATTCATCTCTGAATAAACCGTTAATTTTTCCTTCGTAATAAAAGTTAGTTGTACTGTTGTAAGTTCTTTAGTTAATGTTTTATCGGTTTGATTTTCAAGACGCCACATATTTGAAATAGAAAATGACAAAAGTGTATGTCATAAGTAATAAAATGTTTTTCTTTTTGTCTTTCATTTTATTGGTACTAGATTATTGTATTTCTATACTCTCAAAATAGAAATAACCAGTATGTATTTTTGTATGACTACTTGATCATTAACTTTTTTTTATGACCTTTTCATGTTTTATCTCGGGAAGGATATTTAAGAAGCTTGTTATGTTTGCAGCTTAAAAAGCCCAATAAAATAAGACTGGGAAATTGGGAGACTCCTGTTTTGTCAAAGGAGCAACTACAGTACGCTGCAACAGATGCTTTTGCTTCTTGGTGTCTTCATCAGGTACGTACTATTCTTGGATAAACTTTTCAAAAATGTTCTTATGAGAAAAAAAAACAACTAAAATTTTTCTCATAGCATGAAATCAACTTACATACACCAATTTTTTAAAAGCATAGAATATTAAGGCGCATAATTTGATTTATTTTACCTCTTATTTTCTTTTCATGTTTGACTAAATAGTAAACTCCAACACCAAGATAATTATTAGCCATATAGTAGATTTCAGACTATTAACGTCATCAGTCTTGTCTTCAATTTTATTGACACTTGATTCAGGGAATTGGTTTATTCTTTTGCAGGCAATCAAAGATCTCCCGGAAGCCCAAGAAGTCAAGGACATAAAGGAATGACTACATTCCGTGTTTGTACAGGATTTAATTTTATTAATTTTTTTTTTTATATGCACTAAGTATATGTTGGATTCCAATATTTTATTTTTCCTTCTTCAACGCCTGTTGAAGGGTAAATACATCCTACAGCAGTAAGATAAGAACGTAGAAACGAAAAGAAATAATGAGAAAAGAAAAAAAAATTGAGGATGTCAGATGGGTGTAGAATTTTAGATGTTTAAGCATCATCTGACAAAGAAATTGAGCAACTTGAAGAGAATATCTATACTTCTTGGCTGATAAGAGATATTATCTCTTTTTAGTAAAGAGAAGATTCAATCCATTTATTATAATCATAAACCTTAAAACAAAAAAATAAACACAGCCTGGATATATAATATATAGACTTTTCTCATTTAGGGATTTTCAAAACATGATCATTACTATTTTCAAAACAACATTAGCAAAAATAAGATGACTAATTAAAATAAATCATGTGCAAAGTTTCAAATATTCAACTCATACTAAAATGTCTCACCAAAGGTTACATGTAATTAGTAATACTCAAAGACTTCCAAACGTATCGAGTTTTTTCATCTGAGACTAAGGTTTACTTGCATCACACTAAAATGCTTACTCAATTGGCTAAACATTGCATTCATTCATTCTTGCACCTCTTAAAAAAAGTCACTCCACTTATAAATGATTGTCTACGAGTGAAAGTTTGATGTATTATTGGTGATAATTACACGATATCATGTCTTATTTAATATTTCTTTCACTTTTACCCTTTGAGCTTATTTATTGCAGGACACTTCATCTATAATTATGGGAACTGATCTGCTACCACTGAAGTTAAGAGGGTGCTTGAAATTAATTTTAAAAAAATTAGTTAATATGCTTAGCTTTTATAAAAATGTATATATATTATTTAATTGCAAAAAGAAGATATGAAGGTTTTAAAATGAGGATGTGAATGGAATGATAGAAAAAAATAAGCATAGGTGGTGATTGTATTTCGATTTAACAGAAGCAAAGGTTGAATATTATTATTATAAAGAAAGGTGTGAGGTAATTAGATGATTGATTGATATAAAGGTTAAGGTTGGGGTGCCGACAGAGGAAAGATGTAGGTGTGAGGTGAGGAGTGAAGATGAATTAACAACATTGAAAACGACAATGCATTGCATTCCATTCCTCACACTTCTCTCCTATCATCTCAATGTTACTCAACCAATCATGTCTCAAACAACCACATCAATCCATGAATAACGCTAACATTAATTCATAGGATCCCCAAGTATGCATCTGTCTTCTGTAATGGTTGATAAGCATCTTCCATTCATTCTTCTTCAAACAATCGTGTTTCTCAGAAATCACAATAATATACTTCAACTCATCTCATTTTTATCCAAATACACGATATATTTTACAAATTTTATTTAAAAAAATCATTTTTTACGCTTATTGTGTTTTATCATCATTATTATTTAGCATTGAAACTTGGTGTTTTGTCAATATGAACAACAACAAAATTCCCTCCTCACATGCTGTGCATAGTTTGTTTACAATAATGACCTCACCGTCATTCATTTAATAATGCGTGCTGTTCTAAATTAATTTTTTGCTGTTTACTTTTTTTTTCATAATGTTATTCATATATCTTCATGTTTTCTCTTTCTCCCTTTTTATTATGAATCATTCATGCCTTTTTTTGTATTATTATTATTATTATTATTATTATTATTATTATTATTATTATTATTATTATTATTATTATTATTATTATTATTATTATTATTATTATTTTATTTACGTATACCTGAAGTTGAAATGTTGCTCTATAATTCACAAAATTGATGGACTTTGTTAGGATATGAAGAGATGCCTCCTAATTTTTACTATCCTACAAATTTTAAAGACAAATATTTATAATATTGGCCAAAACACCAAAATATAAACATTGTCCCAAAGACAGTAGCAATAAATAATGTATACTCTTTTATGACCTTGGTATCAAGAGCTTGGTTCGTTCTATGACCTTGAAAGTGTGAAGTCAAGAAAATCTTGGAGGTTTCTTTCACGTGGGTCTTCGAAGATCAAGAAGTCGCAGATCAAGAAACCTGTTGAAGAAACGTTTGAAGTGTGGTCAAGAAGTCTGCAAGATTTATCATGACAGGAGGTCTTGGAGGATTGATGTAGGGAGGGTTGCCGGTGTTCGATGGCAAATCTTTTGGAGATTGGAAGATTAAGATGAAAGAGGTATTCAACTTTCAAGAAGTTGCTGATATTATAGAAAATGGTGTCACAAAAATTGGGAGCAAAACTACAGAGGAAGAGAAACAAATTTTTTAAGTTTCAACAGAAGATGGATAGCAAGGTTAGGTTCTTGATATATTAGTACGTCAGCCCCATGATTTTTAATCAAATTTCAATGGTTAAAACTGCAAAGAAGGCGTGGGAGATACTTGACAAGACCTATGGTGTTGGAGATAAACACGAAAAGGTTAAGTTGCAAGCATTAAGGAGGAAGTTCGAGTTCCTCATGATGGAAGAAACTGAGACTGTAACAGAGTATCTGAGTAAGGTGCAGGAGTTGGTCAATGCAATCCGAGCATGCAATGACACAGTTTCAGAGCAGCATATTGTAAACAAGGTATTAAGATCTCTTCCACCAAGTTTTGATCATCTTGTAATTACGATTGAAGAAACGAAAGACTTGGAACATCTTGGGATTCAGGAGCTGCAACATTCCTTGGAGGCCCATGAATACAGACTCAGTGAGAGAAAACATATGCTAGAACAGGTCTTGCAAGCGAGATCGAGTTACAAAATGAAGTCGAAAGGAACCAAGAAGAGTACGAAACAGTCAAAGGGTGCCAACCAAGATGATGCTGCAGGTGATTCAGAGAAAAATAAGAGTATGGCACCAAGAACAATGGAGAGAAAAGCTGGAAATTTGACAAGAAAAAGGTGAAGTGCTATAATTGTCAAAAGCTTGGGCACTTTGCTTGTGAGTGTTGGAAGGGTACAAGGTGAAGTCCAAGAATCAAGCTAACCTAGTTAAAGATGATGCTTCATCAGATTCAGATATAGTAATACTCGTGGCAAAGACCAGTGAAAAAAGTTCAAAAGAATCATCTTCATGGTATATTGATTCCGGTTGTTCTACCCACATGACTGGACGTCGGGATTGGTTCATCAAGTTAAGTGATGCTTCACACGGGAAGATCAGGTTCGCAGATAATCGGAGTCTGCAAGCAGAAGGGAGAGGTTGTGTGGTGTTAATTGATCATGAGAATAGAGAAATCATCATAGATGATCTTCTCTACGTACCCGGATTAAAAACCAACTTGCTAAGTCTCGGGCAGCTTCTACAGAGAGGGTCCTTCATGGAGTTGAAGGAGAATGAGCTTAACATATTTGATCAAGATAAAAGGTTGGTGATTCATGTCAAACTCTCAGATAATAGAACGTTTAGAATGGGGATGAGCACACGTAAACATGAGTGTTTTGCTTCCGTGGTTGATGATGGAGAATGACTATGGCACAACAGGTTTGGGCACCTCAATTTCCATGATTTGTATGGACTCAGTAATGATAATCTTGTTACAGGGTTACCACAAATCAAAATACTAGAAGAAGTTTGCTCAGAATGCATCCAGTGCAAGCAAACTAGGTTGCGCTTCAAGAAATTTGTTGGTGGAAAAGCAACCAAGAAGCTGGGAGTTGTGTATACTGATGTTTGTGGTCCTATGCAGGTCACAACTCCAGGAGGGAACAAATACATACTCACATTCATCGATGAATACACACGAAAATTGTGGATGTATTTGCTTGCACAAAAAAGTGACGTTCAAGAATTGTTTGAAAAGTTTGTCAGGATGGTCGAGAGGCAGAGTGGGGAGAAGTTGAAGGTCTTGCGTAGTGATGGAGGTGGTGAGTATTCATCAATGAACTTCAGCTCATTTTGTGAGAAGGAGGGAATAATTCCTGAGAAGACTCCGCCTTATACCCCCCAACATAATGGAACTGCGGAACGTATGAATAGGACATTGCTAAACATGATACAGTGCATGTTGAAGGGAAAGAATGTGTCAAACTAGTTCTGGGGAGAGACAACCGTTATTGTTGCACACATGTTGAACCATGCACCAACAAAACGTCTAGAGGTGACACCAGAAGAAGCCTGGACAGGTGTCAAACCAAGTGTTTCACACTTCAAAATTTTTGGATCCATGTGCTATAAGCATGTGCCAAACCCACTAAGGAGAAAGCTCGATGACAAAGGCACACTGCATGTGTTCATTGGTTATCATGTAACAGGGGGATACAAGTTGTTTGATCCTGCCACGAAACAGGTTTCAATTAGTCGTGATGTTACGTTCAATGAGGCAAGCAGTTGGTCATGGGATCGTGTTGAAAAAGAAGAAAGCACTACAAAAGTGACTTTCAATGAAGAAACTGACTCATAAGATCAGAATCGAGGTGAAGCGTTCCTTCACGTCTGAGGGACTACGAAATCTTTGATGATTCAGCAGTAACAATGGATGGGAGCTTGATTCATTTTGCGTTGATTGCAGTAGAGGCAGAACCCGTAGAATTTGAAGAAGCAGTGAAGAATCCTCACTGGCTGAGTGCAATGGAAGAAGAGATTAACTTCATCGAGAAGAACCAAACTTGGGAACTTGTCTCACTACCACCTGGTAAGAAGCTCATTGCGCTCAAGTGGGTCTATAAGCTGAAGATGAATCCTAATGGAGAGATTTTGCGCTATAAAGCGAGGCTCGTCGCCAAAGGGTTCTTGCAGAGAGCAAGGATAAACTACAGTGAGGTTTATGCACCTGTTGCTCGACTGGAGACGATTAGATTAGTGGTTGGTTTTGCCATAAACTCTAACTGGCCACTACATCAGTTAGATGTTAAATCTGCCTTTCTCAATGGTCCACTGGAGGAGGAGGTTTATGTAAAGCAACCCAGTGGCTTTGAACATCAGGAGAAAAAAAACAAAGTTTATAAATTGAAGAAGGCTCTATACGAGCTTAAGCAGACACTAAGAGCGTGGAATAAACACATTGACACATTCCTTGAGCAGATTGGGTTCATCAAGTGTAAATCGGAGCACGATGTTTACGTGAAAATGCAGCAACACAACAATGAGAAAGTCATTATTTGCCTATATGTTGACGATCTCCTGGTCACTGGAAGCACTGAGAAGTTGATTTGTGAGTGCAAGCGTGATCTCCTTTCAGAATTTGAAATGACTGATCTGAGAAACTTGAGTTACTTCCTTGGCATAGAGTTCAAGAGAATACCCACTGGGATGTTGCTACATCAGACGAAGTATGCGAGTGACTTAGTAAAGAGATTTGGGATGCATCAGAGTAACTCTGCAAGCACCCCTACAGAGTCGGGATTGAAGCTTGAGCTAAGTCCTGACAAAGAAAACGTGGATCAAGCGCAATATAGAAGTATCGTGGGCAGCCTGAGATACCTTTGCAACACCAGACCAGATCTTAGTTTGAGTGTTGGCTTGATTGAAACTAGGAATCATGCTTGCCAAAGGAGAAAACAAACTGGTTGGGTTCACTGACGCTAATTGGAGTGGTGATAGGGATGATAGAAAGAGTATGGTTGGGTATGTGTTTTTTCTTGGAAGAGCATCAATCTCTTGGAGCTCTACGAAAGAACCCATCGTAGCTCTTTCAAGTTACGAAGCTGAATATGTTGCAGCATCCAATGCAGCATGCCAAGGAATCTGGTTGACAACACTGATGAGAGAATTGGGAGTTGAACAGGTGCAAAAGATGAAGTTATTGATTGATAATCAATCAGCAATAAGTCTCGTAAAGCATCCAGCTCTACATGGTAGGAGTAAACATATAGAACTTAAATATCATTTCATTCGGAAGCAAGTGGCAGCTAGGAAGCTAGAGATTGATTACTACAAATGTGAGGAACAAGTCGCGGATGTTTTAACAAAACCTTTGAAAAATGAAAAATTCAAACATTTCAGAGATAATCTTGGTGTTGTAGATATTTCATGTTATTTTTAATTTGAGGAGGAGTGTTGAATAAGTCAAACTAAAAAACTTCTGTTTCAAGTTTAGTTTTCTGTTATCTATTTTTTTATATAAATAATACTTCATGTATCATTCATTTACTTCCTCTTCTCCTGTACTATTTCCTTTATACGATCATTATATTCCTTAGTACGTGATAGTATTAATATTAACATATTAGAGTAATAAAAAATAAGTTCGACTTAATATAATGAATTGATTTGAAAAAAAAAATCAAATAAAAAATATAGTTTAATAATAAAATACTTTTTGTCTCAGTTTCTCATTATTTGAGTTATCTTATTTAATATATATATATATATATATATATTAATTTCTCTTTCAAATTTTTATAAAAAATATAATTAACTTTATTAATATAATCTAAATTTTAAAAATATATACTTCATATTAATATTTTAATTATTTCGTTTTATTTTATAAAATGAGTTAATAATGTGTTGTCTCAAGATTAGATTAAACCTTAAAACTGCTCTGTCTGTGTTTTCAACTAATCCTTATCCAATTAAGTTTGATTTGTTGAACATGTTGTCCATGAATTAAAAAACAAAATACACCAAAAACTACAATGCATTAAATTAATTTAATTATCGTCACTTATAAAAACAAATAAAAAAACTACAGTATTAAAATGTTATTTTATTTTGCAATATTACAATTATTTTATTTTATACACTGGGAAGGAGCAGTGTGTAGTGGAATATGGTTGGTTACCTAGACATGACTTGGTAACAGGTATGTCACTCCTGAAACTAAAGCACCCTTTTTCACTTTCAGGTTCTGAAGCAGTAGCAGCCATATCCACCAACACCATCTCTCATCATTTTTCTTCTCCTGAAATCGCACCTCCTCCATCATCTTCTCCCAAACCTAAACACCCACAACACTTGCTCTCTCTTCTTCTCAAACATCCTTCTCAACCCCAACTTCTGCAACAAATTCACTCTCACATTATCACCTCTGGCCTCTTTCACTACCCTTTTCACAACACCTCCACTTCTTTACTCCTCTTGAACAACGTCATCCGCTGTTACTCCCATGGCCCTTTCCCCCACCAAGCTCTTCACTTCTTTAGATACACCCTGCATTCCCACGCTTTGTTCACATACCCTTCCCTTGACACCTTTTCTTTTGCCTTTCTTTCCCACGCTTCCGCAAATCCAGACTGCACCCACTTTGGGACTCAACTCCACGCTCTCGTTTTCAAGGTTGGGTATCAGTTTCATGTCTATGTGCAAACTGGGCTGTTGCGAATGTACTCAAGCTGGGGTCTTTTAGTTGAAGCTGCACAGGTGTTCTACCAAATGCCGCGCAGAAGCTTAGTTACTTGGAATGTTTTTATTACTGGTTTGATTCAATGGGGAGAGGTTGAACTTGCTTTTTCTGTGTTTAATCAGATGCCTGCTCGGAGTGTTGTGTCATGGACTCTTGTTATTGATGGATACACACGCAGGAATCAGCCCATGAAAGCTTTAACATTGTTTAGGGAAATGATTGCAGTTGATGGTATAGAACCTACTCAAGTTACTCTTTTGACCATTTTTCCTGCTATTGCAAATATTGGGTGTATTAAGATATGTCAATCGGCTCATGGATATGCAGAGAAGAGAGGCTTCAATGCCTTTGATATACGCATTACAAATGCATTCATTGATTTGTATGCGAAGTGTGGATGCATAGCGAGCGTGAATAGATTCTTGCAGGAGTTACCTGATCAGAGGAAGAATTTGGTATCATGGACCTCAGCTATCTCTGGTTTTGCAATGAATGGGATGGGGAAGAAAGCTCTAGAGAGTTTTGAAAGCATGGAGAAGGCTGGGCTTAGACCGAACCGGGTGACTTTCCTTAGTGTTTTGAGTGCTTGTAGTCATGGAGGATTGGTCCAAGAAGGCCTCAATATTTTTGTTAAAATGGTAAAGGATTATCAACTTGTGCCAGATATCAAACACTATGGTTGTGTGATAGATATGCTAGGGAGGGCTGGGAGATTAGAAGAAGCTGAGAAGGTTGCTTCTCGATTACCTCATGAGATTGCAAATGCTGTGTTGTGGAGGACGTTGCTAGGTGCTTGTAGTGTTCATAATAATGTTGAAATTGGTGAGAGGGTGACCAGGAAAATACTAGAGATGGAGAGAGGACACGGTGGGGATTATGTTCTTATGTCCAACATTCTTGTTGGTGTTGGGAGATTTAAGGACGCTCAAAGGTTAAGAGATATGATAGATAAGAGAATTGTCTTTAAACTTCCTGGTTACAGTATAGTCTAACTAATATACTAGTGTCACAGCTGAAAAAGATGATTGTTCTGCCTTTTATTTCTTGGGGATAGGTTGTGAATACGGTAGAAGAACCGTATCCATAGACAGGTCCATTTATCAAGAGGCCTATTGGCTCTATTTGCCATGTCATTGCCATTTGCTTCACACATTCTAAATTAGTTCCAGGCATCAAATTACTTCATACGTCAACGATTATTTTTTATACTTGTGTTATTTGAAAAGTGTTAACCTTTGCTATGCTAGCAAAATGATCGACATATATGAGATGATCTATACCAGTATATCTAAACTATTTTCAGGGACTTCATATTGAGTGTCATAATTTTTCTTCCTTCACTCACATTTCTTGAAAACACATTCTTGTCAGACAACCTAACCTGTACAGGGATGACAAAATCCAAGGTCATATCCATCATTGGAACAGTCGTTTCGTGGGCATCACAGCTGATTGCAAACAACTTTGTAGTCATACAAGATTACAAGATTTCTTTTGTAAAGAAAACATCAAATAGAGTAGCTAATGTTGCATTTCGCACTGTCTAGCATCAAATACACCCCCGCCTTTCTAGCACTAATATCAACATTGATGTTATTAAAATTTAAAATATAATAAATTTGATGATGCATTTTTCTGTAAAAGATAAATATATAAATGTAAGAGCTGAATGCTTGGGGAAGATTCAAACTCGGTTTTATACGAATCCAACCCTCCAATTCCATGTTTTAGTTTTGCCGCATATAAAAAATGTTCCATTACGGGAATCAGGCTGACAGATTCCCATATTATACCAACATTTAAAAAATTGGAATTAAATTAATTTGAGTATATTTAATTTTAAAAATAAAAATATTTTTTACTTTTATAAAATATGCTATTTTCCATTAAAAAATATAATATAATTTTTACATATGAAACTTCGATGAACAGGAAATTGTATTTCACATATTACCTTTTACAAAAAACTTACGTGGAAGGATGTTGGCTATTATTGTATAATAACTTTTATGATATCTTTATCAAACTTCAAATTTAGTTAATTTCTTAAGAGTTCAGTGCTTTTGGACGCAATATAAAAATAACATTATACAATAATAAATCAATCTACCGTAGAAACTAGTAAACAAGAAAAGTGTTATTTTCTCTGTACAGATTTTACACCGACAATTCAGTAGGCGGAATGCTATCAAAATAACTAAAATGTTCTTACAAGAACTATTGCATAAATGACTTGGGGGATGTCAAGTTATACAATGTTTCCAACCCACCATATACATAGTATGGCCTTCAGTCAAATATCTCCTGGCTTTCGATTATACTGTGCTGACTGAAAATGTGAGATGGGGAAGTTAGTTAAGATCCGTAAACAGAATTTCTCATGGGATAATGCTTTTGATAGATGTATGTGATACAAGAATGACACGAGGAAACCAAATGAAACAGTAATAGTCATTCTTACAGGTCATCTTTGGCGACACGATAATATCTCTCTGCATGCTGGCGCTGACCAATCAGTTGAGCAAAACGCTCATCGTGAGTGATTACAATTAGTTGAAAATTTTCCTGCCCTTTCCTGTCCTCCATGATCCTGTATTTTTAAGGAAGATAACAGCACATTAAAATGTAATTAATTCATTATTAGTAATTTAATCAGACAGAACTATTCAATCTAGCCATACCTTACGAGAGCTGCAGCCAGACTTTCAGCATTTGGTCCATCCAAATTTGTGGTAGGTTCATCCAGTGCAAGAATTCCACAATTGAGACAAAACGTTTCAGCTAGTGCCAACCGTATGATAAGAGATGCCAGAACCTGGAACCTCGCAATTAATACAAAATTATTGTTTATTATTTTTAATTAATTAAGGGAAGACATAATAGTAATTCCCTCAGTGATAACATACATACCTTCTGACCTGCGCTACATCTTCCTCTCATCTCCAACTCTGCATCACCAGTCTGCATGAGAACCTGTACGGAATGCAAAGAACAATAATTACGTGGAAATTAGACAGTTTTTGAAGGAATTGTTTTTCTATATGATATGTCAAACCTTGTAACTGTATGAACGGGTCCCTGCACCTTCTGAGTCTGAATGAATACTAATGTAGTCGATATCTTGCCCTCTATAAGTTTGCTGCCACAATTCCCTAATAATTTTGTTGATTTCTTCCATTTTCATTGTGTGGAAGCGCATCAATGCCCTGAAAAGATGTATCATAAAGAGACAACACCAAGGAACAAAATTAAATGCAGATCAAGATCAGTAATTTAATACACTAGTATCTAATTTGTTAATAAGTGTATCATTATTGACTAATGCTTGAAATAGACAGTTTACTATGCTTTCATTCCATAATTTGTAATTGTATTCCAGGCATGATAATAATTAGGAGTGTCAATATGAGTTGTAAACCGTGAACCAGTCCAGCTCCCCACGGATTCGAGCCAAGTTATAGTGAATTGACTCACAACCCATAATTCATTTTAAATTTTAAAAATAATTATAATAATTTAATAACCTTAATTAATGTTATTCTACTTCTTCAGCTTTACTCCACACTGTTGCTACAAGCTAAACTTTCACTCAAGTTTATCATCAATTGTCCGCCGCTCTACTACATCCCTGTGTTTGTTGTGTTTGTCACATTTCAGTACTGCGTTTCATTCATTTCACAGGTTTGTCATGTCATCGTGTTAGTGTTTCAGGCTCGCGTTTCAGTTGCGTCACCACGTACACTACACCACTACCCTCGTCGCACCACTACACCACCGTTCAATAACACCATAATGTTTGTCGTGTTACAGCACTTATCGTATCATCGTGCCATTGTATTTCAGTCCCCACAATTCAGTTGTGCTTATTAGAAATAAATAAAAAAATAAATATGGATTAATGAGTCAACCCACCAACTCGTAGTGGGTTGAACCAGGTTATGAAATTTCTAACTCGTTATAAAATGAATCGGGTTGAGCTCGCCTATTCTCAGCTCAACCCATGGTGAGCCAACCCGTGTGAGCCATGTTGGTTCACTTTGACACCCTTATTAATAATTAGTTTGCAACAAGAATTGAACATAAAAAATGAGCAAACCAATTTTATGAACTTCACGAAAGATGTGCATTTCTCTCTGCCTTGACCTAGGCAAATAGTCTCTTTGGATAATTATACCTTTGTATTTGATAGTTTTCCAGTTTACACGGTTAAGCCCCCATTCAACCAGAGGCAGAATTCATATTGCTTTACAAAGGTAAAAAATGACATGTCATAATGCTACATAAGCAAAGAGCACCAAGTTAATGCCAATCAGAGAAGGGGACTTGGTTGCATCCAATCCAAAAACTATGAACTCGTGTATTGTTATAATTAAAACTAAATATTTAATGGGATTAAATTTCAAATATTAATGCTCAAGGGACCCTAAAACTCAATCTTCTATTTTTCTTGTCAGGAAGAATAATGTATGTGCACTTTGCAGTCCCAAAGCATATATATATATATATATATATAACACAGACCCTTGAGAATGTAGCTGCAAATTGAAACATAATGGAATTATAGCAAATAACAAAAATATCCAGTATTTTTACATACCAAAGCTGCCAAGTGAGCTCAGCACCTCCCAATGCAAAAGGTGATTGTTACAATCTTACTTAGGCATTGCAAAGCCATGACTAGCACACAACAAAGAATACAAATTTGATGTAATGTTCAACATTACTGAATTTTAAGAAACTCACTTGTCAAGTGCATTGTAGTATCTGTCCAGATCCTTGTTGGCCATTTCAGTTGTCTGCCATTAAAGTTGAATTGTCAACAATATAAAACAGAAAATTAAAGAAGAAAGCAATAGACTATGCTATCATATGTGATTACACCTTAAGCTGGATAAGCTGGTCAAAGTATCGCTTATCTATGTCCTTGTATTGAGCCTGCTTAAGATCAACCTTATTTTTGGAAATATTGTTTTGGTAAACAGACATTGTTCCACGGCTTCTGTTTACCTTTCACCGGAGAGAGAAATATGCGTCAGTTCTACACTAGAAGAAATAGTATATAACTGTAGATGATGTGAACATATAAATGGTGATTGGCTGAACTATTTAAGATTGCAAGCATAGATGTGTGATTCAGGGATTTGAAATACCTCTGAAAGAAGTCTCTCCCTCTCCTGCGATAGTTTCTGGCGTTCAGTTTCAATTGTGGAGATCCCACCAGCCTTCAATATATTTTCTTCCAGTGTTTCAATTTCATGTGCCAGCTCATCTACTTCAGCCTTTGTTTTCCTATAATTTAAGTTGTCATCAATTTTTCTTCTTAACTGATCTTGATTTTGCATTAAATCTTTGCTTTTGACTAGCTCAGCTAAAATTTCCTGTTTCCTGGTATCACAACTTTGAAGTTGAAACTGTGATAGAGAATTCTTTTCCTGCAGTTCCTTCAACCTGTCTCCTTTCTTTAAATCAGAATACCTGATCAAACAAATCATATGTTAAAGAAAGTTGGAGTCTTTAAAACTAACACTTTTAAAGAAGATAAACTCACTCTTTGATCTTAGAATTCATTCTGAAAAGTGATTCAGCTTCTTGCTGATAACTTCTCTTTTGTTCAGCCTGGTCCTCAAACTCACGGCTGAGTCTAATTTTCAGTTCATTATAGTTAGCCAGTAATTTATCTTTCTCCTTGGAAAAAGGTTCAAGAGCATCTGCCAAATGCTGCAAATACACAAATTCTGAGTATTATGATGCATTTTAACATGGCAAAGAGACAAAAAATAAAGAATCTTTTTTAAAGTAGCAGTTACAGAGGAATCAATCAATAAATTTGAAATTTTTTATTATGTTATCATTTTTAAAGTAGCAGCTACAGAGCATTGATTATATTATTATTTTTTTCTCATAGAAAGGGGTCAAAAGGCAATTGCACAAGCCTATAACTCAAAATCAAGTATCCATTAATCTATCAGATAATTAGAAACCTTCTCATCGAGATCAACTTGGGTCTTTTCTTCAGTTAAACGCTCCAATTCTTCTTCTAATCTTTTGACACCTTCCAATATGTTAGTTGCTTTCATTTTCTCCTTCGTTAGATTATGCCACCGTATTCGAATATTTGATAGATCATTCTCCATATGCCTCTGTTCTTCCCTCAACCTCTCCAATTCAGATTGCAAATTGTCCCTGATAACCAAGATATGCATGGAAATAATGATAAGAATAAGAAACAAAACCAAAACTCATGATAAGAATATGCACTAGGGACTAGGAGATGAAGGCAATATGTACAATTATCCTAATGGATCTAGTTTGTGAAATTGACCGCTTTAGTAAAATAGTATAAATTAACTTCAGCCATTTACTTAGTGCTCTGCAGTGTGTTAAGCTCCAACTGAATCTCTTCCAGAGTCCTCACTCCCTGTCCTCGAAAATCAAGCTTATCTTCTAAATCCTCAACTTGCCTTTGCAAATCTTGAATTTCTTGGAAAAGTCGATCAGCATTTTCAACAGGTTGCACCAATGTGTCAACCAAATCCTTGTCAGTCTTTACTTGAGCTAAAACACCTAAAACCTGAAATTGCATCCAAAACAAGTGAACAGCAAGAAAAACAGGGAATACAGATAATACTTCATCTGATCCTTAATACAAGGCACTTATAACAGAGTTACACAAACCAATAAAAATAATTATTCAGTTGATTTTATTGAATTTTTAAAACATTCTCTTATTATTTATTAATAAAAAACACACATTCATAATATTTATAGGGACAAACAAGGACAAAAGATATATTGTTTCGAAGAAATCATAAAATGTCTTAAAAAAGGACAATCAATTTCTTCTAAAATATGCCTCTTGTATTAAGAATAAGAGGAAGTACCAAATAATTGATAAAAAATAATAATCACCATCAGCAAAACAAAAATCTAAGAAATGAACATGTATGCTGGGATTCAACTGTCTACTTAAAAGAAATTTCTAGGAAATATTTTAAAGAAATTATGATTGTTACATCATCAAGAGCCTGAGATTTGTCTTCCATCTCATCTTTAAGTTGCTGAAGTTCCTTTTCAGTATTAGGGATGATCTCCTTGCCAAGTTTAACATATTCTTCATAAACCATCCGAAGCTTGTCCAGCTGCTGATAATGAGACTCTGCATTTGAGGATTCCACAGCAAGAACTTTCATATGTTCAGCTGAACTGGCTGCCTTCACTCTTTGCTGTCATTAAAAAAAGGGCAATTCAAAACTACATTAAAAGCTTGCTCAAAGCCAATAGATAATATCAGTACGTTAAAAAAGAATGTAAAATGTACAACCTTCTTGACAAAATTGTCTTCTTCTTCCGGAGAGAAAGGGCGCTCACAGCAAGGGCAAACATGATGACCTCTAGCAACCCTTTCAAAAGGATCAAACATTTGGCGCATACCATCAGCAATATTATATTTGCTGCAACCAATCAACAGACAAAGTATTAGTTCATTTGAAACCAGCACATCAATGACAACACAACAACACTTTGATATGTCATCATGAATATGCTCTGTCAAAAATTGACCTTCTCTGGACATCTCTTTTCTCCTTGGAAGACTCTAAAACCTTGAGATAAGAATCAAGTCCAGAACATTGCTGATCCAAAGACTGAAGCTTGGATTCAATAAATCTCTTTCTTGCTGCAAAATAAAATCATTTTAATATAAATGGCGCAAAACTTGTGTCTTCAGTTATTCAGCATGGTGGAAGAATGAAAACAAACTAAGGCAAACAAGAAGCAGCATTAAAAAATAAATAATATCAAGTGGGCATCATCAGCTATATCAAGAGACACGTACAAAATGCTAAATACACAAAGGCTCTTTCTATTTATTGCGTACTATTATCATATTATTGATATGCAGAAACCATGTGGCTATCAAAAGCAGTAAAAAATCCATGTAGACATTAGAACCTACAAGCCCAAATAGTACTTTTCATAGATGTTTTGTTTGGTAAAAAACCCAAGGGAGATGATTTCCCAATATCAATTTCTTTATAACTAAAGAAATATCATACATGAAGAAGCATTCAGCAACTTCTTTTGTCCTTGGAAAACTATGTACCTACAGAATGTATAAGGCAAAAACAATCCTAAAACTAAAAATAGACACATTTTCAATTTGATGCATGTGCAGCAATTTTTCAAATAAATTCCCTGTTACAACTTTTAAGTACAATTACCAGATGAAAAATTAGTTTCACATAAATAGGAAGCAAAATATAGCATTGTTGGTCGTATATGTGATACTCATTTTAATTTGATCCCTAAACTTTAATATAACTATAATAGACAGTACTATAATACAAACATAAATGACAAAAATGAAAACTATTCTACATATGAGAATTTAATTAAATTATTTTTTGTATATGGAATAAATTTAAAAGAGTGCCACATATATCAGAAATAATATTTTAAAATAAAAGAAAACATTGTTGACATGGCAACTAGGCAAGCACATCCTATGAACCATTACAACATTACATGTGCAGAAAATAAAAACTAAAAACATTGATTTCACTAAAAAACTAAAAAATATTTATACTCAACTTCTTTCAATGATAGATAGCACTTACATTCCAAATCCTTGTGGTGTCTGGATAGGTTACCATTAACTTCTTGTATTTTTATTTGCAACATATTGACTTCCTTCTCAGCATCACGGTACTTTGCATTCAGATCATCAAATTCAGCTCCAACAGCCCTGCTCAAAAATGAAAAAGGTATCAATACAAGGTAATTTCTCATTTACTTGGCATTCTTACCCAAATAAGACTTTTTCACTTATACTTGTAACTCCAAGATATCATAAATCTCATATTGGCAAATCCTCAACTGTACAAGTGAACTTGGTTCTACCAGTTTTGGGCGTGAAAAATGTGTCTGTGATCTCACATCAACTATAATATGGCCAACATAGAGCTTATAAAAGGTTTGGACACTTACCTTACACATTTTGGGATCGAGTTAAATTCAAGAGATCGTACCTACAACTACAAGATGAAAAAAAAAAAAAATATTCCCAAACCTTAATGCTTGTGTAATTTCTTTTTTCACATCCTTATCAAGAGGAACCCTCCCTTTTAGCACCTTTCTAATTTTGTCCTTTTGGTCATCAAATCTGTAAAGAAGAATGAACAGATGATTTCCGACTTCTAAGTATATAATTCTAAAAAGTGAAAAGCTGAAAGATAAAAATAAAATGGATCTACATCTTTTTATGTTTCTTCTTCCGATTTTCCAACTCTGCTTTCTTGTGAGATAGCATAACTCTGTCCTCTGAATCAGAAGCCATGATATCCTTCTCACGATTGACAGCTCTAATCTTTTGATCTATACTATATATCTCATTTTGCACTTGACGTATATTTGGTTCAAATTGTCTTTGAGAGAGTTGGCTTTCCTTCCTCTCAATCTCATTTCTCTGCAAGCATTACTCAAAATTATGCTAATCATATATGTCAGATGTAAAAAATTAAGGATATAGATTACTTAACAACAAAAAATAGAGGTGCCCCTACCAAATTTTTTTCTCTTTCATCTATGTGAGAGAAATTCAGATTCGTCATTTGAAGTTCAAATGAATCGAGCTCATTTTTCTTCTCTTCGATGCACTTAAAAATGCCATCCTGCAAGCATGAGAACCTATTAACATTGTGCAAGATAGAAAAATTTGACAAGAAATGTATGCATTTGAATGAAACACAAAACCTTGATCCCTTGCATAGCCTTTATTTTAGCATCAGTATCTTTCCAACAGTCATTAGCATTCATGTTGCGATCCCATGCCATCTCAAGTTCGTTGTCATTTACTTTCTGAACAAAAGAAGCAAGAAAACAGTCAATAATCATGTTGTTTTCTTACTTTCCATATAGTTAAAATAAGTTTACAATTTGGAAAATTTAGCCAAGCACATTCTGTTAAAAAGAAAACAAATTCACTGAAGAGTGAACGAAAGAAAGAAAGAGGTACAGGAGCATAGACACAATATTCTTCCTTAAGGAAAAACCTATAAAAAAAAGGGTAAAAATCAAGTGTGCAAAGCATTCCAATTCTACACATATCCAGCAAACAAACCCAATACAATACTGCGACTTTAATGCACAAAGAAAACAAAAAGATCCTTTATCCCAAATATCAAGTAACAGCAAGAAATCATCCTTGAAAATTCCTCCACTTCTCATTTGTGAGGCATTTAAAAGTGAAACACACTCATAAACCAGAAAGAGAGAACAGAAAAGTCACCTTTTTATCATCCAGATCCTTCTCGAGATCTGCCAACCTGGATTTTACACGACTAGTGAGATTTAAAGCAACCTCGACACTGAAAGGCGACCTTGGAAGTGGTCCCAAACTATATGTGGCAAAAAGACTGTGAATGGAGGAATCACGGTCATTCTTCAAAGACATGTGGGCCTGAAGTTCAAATTAGAAACAAAATTACAATAACATCTCCAAAACTAGATGTCAGTATAGGTAGCTTGTGTATCAAATTCATTTACTTCTGCTTCAGCTTGTAGTTTGGCAATCTCTTTGTTGGATTGACCAATGATATTCATGAGGGCGGTACCTTTCTCAGCAAGGTCGGTCATTTCTCTTTCCAACTTTCTTATTTTCGCTTCTAAAATTGCAATCCTTTCTTCAAACTTGGTCTTCCATTCCATCAATAATTCATCAGAATCTAATTAAATATAATATGCAGAAAAGGAAAAAGCATTAGAAACTTATATATATATTAAACAGGGCATATCTGTGTAAATCCATTAGGAAATACAACAATTTAGAAGAGGCCGAAAAATTCAAGACTGGCTCAATGATGGTAATACGTCTACCATGTTCAAGACTTGCATACCTACATTCTCCTCCACAAGAGCTGCATGTTGTTTCTCTTGTTCCTTAAGCAGGGTGCTTCGTTGAGCAGTTTTAGTTGATATCTGCTCTTGCAGCTTCCGCAAATCCTTCAATGTTTCCTCTGCATGATGAATTTTATCCTCTAATTGTTTAATGCTCTCTTCCAACTGCTGTACTTGACCTTTCACTGACTCTGTTTTCTCTTGATCCTGTGCAATGCTTTCCCGTAGCTATAACAAAATAAAATTAAATAATTAAATTTTATTTTTCTTTCTATTTTGGCACATTGTGGCTTTCTTGATGATTATAACGGTCAAAGATGAAGGATTATTAGAATATCATATTAATGGTTTTTTTGAGAAAACAAGAGAAAAATATCATATTAATGGGAAGAACGGCTATTAGACAAGTAGTGAAAATGTGTTACCATTAAAGTAGAACAAAAGAGTATATGTTTTCAAACGCTTTAGCCGATCGCTTTTACTTAATTAGAAGGCAAGAGAAAAGAGTGGTTTTGTAGCGTTGATGATTTGTAGGATAAAGAGGGAATGAGAAAACTTATTTTTTTCCTTATTATTTATTATTTGTAGAGTTGCGTCATATTTTGGAAGAGGAAAGAGACCTTATAAGCAGCATCTTTGAGAGTTTGAAGATGTTCGAGTTTGAGCTTGTAAGTCTTTATCTCTTGAGCCTGCTCCTTATGAAGTTTCTTTATAACTTCCAACGCCTTGGTGTATCTGTAAAGTACGAATCATATATGCATAATCTATAATGAGTGAATGAAAAAAGCAACAGCGGGGAGAGAGTAGGGAAATGGAAGGAGAGATACCGAGTTGCGGAAAATATATCGTCAAACTTCTTCTTTAAGGTGGAAGGATCCTGTAGGGGCCAGTTAGCTTCGTCCTGGTGAACGAATATAACATTTTCGAGAATGGCCTTGGAAACACCCATGAGGGCAGGAATCTCTCGATCCATGTCAGCGCATCGATTGCTGGGGCAAACTTTCTAACAGAGGAGAAGAGAAGAGGGTTAATGGGAAGAGAGTGAAGAAGAAGAAGAAAGTGAACGAGTAAGGCACCTCTCCCGTGTGAGGATTGATGGTTTGAAGCACACTCTCGATAGCCTTGTATTCCATTTTGGATGCCTTCTGCGTAAGCTGAAAGGACCTCACACAGACGGCATCTTTACCGGCGGCCGTCTTGAATCGGAGCTTTATCTGTCCCTTCGTTTCGGTTTCCCCGCCACCTTCCCAAATAAAAAGCATAATTGATTAGTTGATCAATTGAAAAGAGAGTGGGAGTTAGGGTAGGGTAAGTTACCTTGGGGTCGTGAATGAAGCTGTGACCAGACCTGGCGTTGGGAGGCAACTCGCCGGTGCAGGAAAGCTTCAAGCACTCAATGATGGTCTGCAAAAGGAGAAGAGATTGAGTTGTGGAAATGAAAAGAGAAGGAGAAAGAGAAATGATTGAATGGATGGATCATACGGTCTTGCCAGCACCGTTGGGACCAACGATTAGGGTTAAGGGCTTGAAGAAGGTGATGACGTTCTTGTTCTCCGGGTCGAAACTCCGGATTCCCTTGATCAACATCTTATCAACAGTACTCATCTCTACTCTCACTCACTCACTCACTCACTCTCCTCTGTTCTCCTCATCCCCCGCCAACTCCCTCTCTGCATGCACCTCCCTCCCCTAGGATGGCAATTAAACCCGTACCCGTGGGGACCGACCCATCCCCGCCCCGAGTTTGACGGGGAAAACCCGAGTTGACCGGGGGCGGGGTCGGGTTTGGTTTTCCGCTTTAAAAGTTGGGGCGGGCGGAGATGGACGTAATCCCCATCCCGACCCCGCCCCGTCCCCGCCCCGACTTTATATTTAAATTTAAATTTTAAAATATTAATATTTTAAAAGTATTTCATTTTCTTTTTCTATTATATATAAGGTTATTTTTTTATATTTCACCAATTTTTATTTTTCTTCTACCCACTTTTTAATTTTTTTTATCTTTTTCAATCTTTTATATCAATTAATTTATTATATTATTATCTCCCTTATCTTTCAGTTTTTTCACATTTTCTTAGTCTCTCCCATCAATTTGTTTTCTTTTTCAATCTTTTCAACCAATTTGATGAACACAAAGTTAATCTTTTTTCTTTATCTTTTTCTAAATATTTTATATCAATCTTAGTAGTAACTAATATTAGTTTATTTATAATTTATATTTATTATGTCATATTTTTTTATCTTATTATGCTTATTTATCATATATCAAATTTTATCTTAATAAAATAATTGCATTTTAAAGGATTAAAAGAAATTAATAATTTAAACTTTTATTACTTCAAACTAATTAAATAAGAATTAACTTATTAAATATTTTCTTATACACTATATATTGACAACTTGAAAATGAATTAACTTATATGTATAATTAAATATTTGAATACAGTATTATAATAATAATGTTATAAATATTCAAATATTTGAATACAGATATTATAATAATAATAATAATAATAATAATAATAATGTTATAAATATTAGATATATATATATATATATATAAATAAAAAATAATTAAATATTTCTTTTACATATATATTTTAATATAAATATAATAAATTAAAATGTATATTTAATTAATAATAACTATAAATTATAAATATTTATTTATATAGAAAAATACACAGTAAAATTAATTTATTATAAATATAATTATCTTTTTAAAAATAATATAAATCGGGGACGGGCGGGCGAGAACCCGAAACCCAGCGAAGACGGGGATGGGGACTTAATTCCTAACCCCGCGGGATTGGGGACGGGGACGGGAATGGTTAAAAAAGTTGGGAGCGGGGACGGGAGAAAAAATTAATTCCCCCATTTCAATTCAATTTTATCACTTTTGGGCTTGGTTGGGCTGGCCCCCTTCTCCGATCCTGGCCTCCGATAATTTCATTTGTACCCCTCTTTTTTCTTTCTATACACCCTTTTAACACACACGTATGCAAAATTCACCATGACCAAGATGTTCAAGGTATGATGATGTTCATAATATAAACAACGGATCATTTCATGTACCCGCCCCTGCATTTAGGCATGGCAACGGGCGGGCGGGCGGGTTTTGCCTCCTCCGTCCCCGCCCCGACTTTTTAACCATCCCGTTCCCGCTTCCGATCCGTCGGGTTAGAATTAAGTCCCCATCCCCGTCCCGCTGGGTTTCGGTTCCGTCCCCGCCCGTCCCCAATTTATATTATTTTTAAAAAGATAATTATATTTATAATAAATTAATTTTACTATGTATTTTTATATATAAATAAATATTTATAATTTATAGTTAGTATTAATTAAATATACATTTTAATTTATTATATTTATATTAAAATATATATGTAAAAGAAATATTTAATTATTTTTTATTTATATATATATATATATATATATAATATTTATAACATTATTATTATTATTATTATAACACTGTATTCAAATATTTGAATATTTATAACATTATTATTATAATACTTGTATTCAAATATTTAATTATACATATAAGTTAATTCATTTTTAAGTTGTCAATATATAGTTTATAAGAAAATATTTAATAAGTTAATTCTTATTTAATTAGTTTGAAGTAATAAAAGTTTAAATTATTAATTTCTTTTAATCCTTTAAAATGCAATTATTTTATTAAGATAAAATTTGATATATGATAAATAAGCATAATAAGATAAAAAAATATGGCATAATAAATATAAATTATAAATAAACTAATATTAGTTACTACTAAGATTGATGTAAAATATTTAGAAAAAGATAAAGAAAAAAGATTAACTTTGTGTTCATCAAATTGGTTGAAAAGATTGAAAAAAAAACAAATTGATGGGAGAGACTAAGAAAATGTGAAAAACTGAAAGATAAGGAGAGAATAATATAATAAATTAATTGATATAAAAGATTGAGAAAGATAAAAAAAATTAAAAAGTGGGTAGAAGAAAAATAAAAATTGGTGAAATATAAAAAAATAACCTTATATGTAATAGAAAAAGAAAATGAAATACTTTTAAAATATTAATATTTTAAAATTTAAATTTAAATATAAAGTCGGAGGCGGGGATGGGGCGGGGTCGGGATTGCATTACCCATCCCCGCCCCGCCCCGACTTTTAAAGCGGAAACTGAACCCGACCCGCCCCGGTCAACTCGGGGTTTCCAGTCAAACTCGGGCGGGACGGTCGGTCCTCACGGGTACGGGTTTAATTGCCATCCCTACCTGCATTATTTGTGTAATGTTGATTTGCACGATAAATAAAACAAAATACAAATACATTTCAGACACATTTTCAATGTTTATATAATATTTTTTTGTGAGCTAGGCATGGTTCAGGAAGACAATTGGCCATATTGCAATTAACCTCAAATAATTTATGATTCATAATTTATACTCATGACGCCAATTGGCCATGTATCGTAAACTCGTTATTTATACTTTATAAATTATACTTAACTAATTCAAGTTTATTTAGTCATACTATTCTTCTTGTCGCCATTTATATATTGATGATATATTATCAACATTATTCTAATCTAATATTTTTCTAATAAAGAAAATACACTAATAGATTAATTAATTCATCAATGATATATTTATTTAATTAAAAAATAAGAAATTCACATGATTAACATATTAAATAATATTAATACGGATATAATTTATTAAATTTTTGTTAATACTAAGTGAAGTTTGCTGGTAGATTTGAATAGTGAATCATGGTAAATACTACCTTACTATTTGATTTTGTTTTTTTTTTTAGATTTCAAATAATTTAAATAGAAATGACAATTAAACCCGTATATGTGGGGATTGACCCATCTCTGTCCCGAGTTTGACGGGAAAATTCGAGTTGACCGGGGACGGGTTCGAGTTTTTTCTTCTTTAAAAGTTGGGGGCGAGGATAGGTAATGCAATCCCCACCCCCACCCCCACCCCGTCCTTGTCCCAAATTTATATTTAAATTTAAATTTTAAAATATTAATATTTTAAAAGTATTTCTTTTCTTTTTCTATCACATGTAAGATCATTTTTTTTATATTTCATCATTTTTATTTTTTTTCTACCCATTTTTTAATTTGTTTGTTTTTTTAATCTTTTATATCAATTAATTTATTATATTATTCTCTCTTATCTTTCAATTTTTCGTACTTCTTTAATCTCTCTCATCAATTTTTTTTTCAATCAATTTGATAAACACAAAGTTAATTTTTTTTCTTTATCTTTTTCTAAATATTTTACATAAATTTTAGTTGTAACTAGTATTATTTTATTTATAATTTATATTTATTAGATTTTATTATGTCATATTTTTTTATCTTATTATTCTTATTTATCATATATTAAATTTTATTTTAATAAAATAATTTTATTTTAAAATATTAAAAGAAATTAATAATTTAAATTGTTATTCTTTTGAACTAATTAAATAATTAAATATTTCTTTATAAACAATATATTTTATATTTTTAAATAACAACTTAAAAATAAATTAACTGAAATCAAATATTTGAATATAAATAATAATATTATAAGTATTTAAATATTTGAATATATAATTATAATAATAATATGAATATTATAAATATATATATATATATAAATAAAAAATGATTAAATATTTTTTCATATATATATATATATTAATATAAATATAATAAATTAAAATATATATTTAATTAATAATAATTTTAAAATTATAAATATAATAAAATTAATTTATTATAAATATAATTATTTGTTAAAAAATAAGATAGACGGAGAACTTACCTAAATCTAGCCAGGATGTAACTTAATGTAACTTAATTTCTAATGGTGAACAAGAATGATTAAAAAATTGAGGACAAGAATCGAGAAGCCAAAACCCGGCTTATCGCTATGCATAAATTTAATTCTCAATTGAAGAAATATTAATTTCTTTAAAAAAGAATTAAAGAATAAGGATGTTGAGAAATGGTTTCCTAGATAGATTTTGAACACAATAACTATATAAAATGGAGTCCTTTTCCTTCATCTATCCTCTGCTGTCTGCCAAAGGGGGAATGGAAAGTGGTTTGCGATGAAGAAAGTGGAGGAGGAGAGTGGTTTCACGCGCCTTGCCTCATTCGTCTGCGAATGTGAGCATTTCACGGAGGAAGAACTCCTAGCTATTGAAGCTTCTCTTTCAAACCCTAACAAATTACGTCGATTCAACGATCACACTCCCCGCCGCCGCTTGCCCACATCGCTTATCGCTCTTCAAGCCTCAAATTCTTCTTCTTTATCCCCTCTTCCAGGTTCTTTACACTAATTACTCAAATCATCGCAACTAATTGTCAAAAGAACATGTTCATTATGGTATGAAAGTTAATTGAAGTATCTTCTACAAATTGTTTGGATATCTTTACTTTTAGTTATGTTCTTGTCCTCTGCTTCTGCTGAGGTATCTCTGAAGAGGACTTAGTGTTTTCATCTTCTGCTTGCATAAAAATGCTTGAAAGGAATTCCATTTGTTCTTCGAAACAGTCAATTAGTTGTAGGCAACGATCCAAGTCCTTTAACTTGGATGACCTCCCTATGAAAAGGGCTAGAATAAGGGAAGGATGCCTATGAAAAGGGTTAGAATAAGGGAAGCAATAAGTATTGTACATATTATTTGAATAGAAGCACATATTTTAAAGAGAGAAGACCTCATATTTCAAAGTGAGAAGACCAAATATGTGAATTTCATCATCTCCAAATGGAAGAGGACTAATGCCTTACTTTATTTCAGTTTTTAAGTTTGTTTAAATAATAACTTAATCCTTTATAAAATTGGTTGACCAAATTTGGGTTAATCCTTTAAGTTAGTTTTGTTTCAAGTTCTAACAAGAATCTAATTGAAAACTTAGGTATCAGTATTGGAGGCTTAGCTAATTGACTTTTAGTTGTCATAATTTTAATTACAATCACTCATTAGATAGTTTTCAATTTCTAGATTAATGGATCATTATTAACATTTATTTGCTTCTATTAAATAGTTTTTAATTCCTATATTAATGGATTATTATTAGGATTTATTTTCCTTGAGCCTTTGTAACTCTAATAGCAAAAACTTTGTATATAAACTGAACTATTTTTATCGAAATAATAATAAGTTGAGTTTTATTAAAAAATATTAGAGTTTTTGCTCTTTTATCTTGGTGATAGTGATTCTTCCTATGTTCTTGAGTGATTCAAAAATTCTTGGTTGTATCAAAGGATTTTCACATCCTTTGTGAGTTGCCTTCCTTGAGAAAATTGATTCTTTCTTTCGATCTTTCACATTCACCTTTTGTCCTTTCTTCACCAAAACCCAAAAATATCAATTCTCTCCAAATTTATTTGGTGGTCATAATTTTAGTTCTACTTGTCCAAATTGATTGTTTCTTGAGCCTAAATTGAAATTTAAAAAAAAAAAAACTTTTATCTCGTTTTTTAATCACCCCAATCGGAGTTTTATAGCTTGAGATATCTACGTTTCAAAAATACTACTTAACCTTGAAACTTTCACAACTTTCTAATTCACCTTCTTATTAATTTCCTACAAGGTTCTAACCCTAAAGATCATAAGTCAACCCTTGTGTAAATAGGGTTGATATCACATGGGAAGGCATTTGAATCTACAAATATTATTCAATCCCATTGAAACCCATAAAGCCTACATTCTCTCTATCTGCTGAATTTAATTTTGGATAAATTGACATTTGCATTTCCTCTAAGTTTTTTATTATTTTCCATCTTGCACAGGCTATTCAAGAATGAGATTACCTGTAATGAAGTTTAGTGGTCAAATTCTATACAGCAGGACTTCTAATGCTGTAGAAAAAGCTGCGACACAACTCTTACAAGTTCTGGATGAAAAAAATACAAAGATAAAGCAAATTGCAATTGGACTTGACATTGAGTGGAAACCCTCCTTCAGAAAAGGTTGATTCAGAATCTTATTTTTTTTTTTTTTTTCAATAGCTGCTGATTGTGGCATAAGCATTTACCTGTTAGTATTGAGTCTGTTACAATTGCTGCCATTTGCATATTGATATGTATTTGATAGAGTAATGATAAACCACCCCATTTTGAAACGGATTGGAATATAAAGGAAAAAGAGATGAGAAGAAGAAGGGATAGGGAAATGACGTGATTTGTAACTAGTGATGTGATGGAAAAGAGAGATATAATAAGAAAATGTGGTGAAAATGACATGGAAGAGAAAGTGAGTGTATGTTGATTATTTTCTTGATATCAGGATGTTTTTATTGGTTTCGTTAACAAGGAATTTTGCCTGTTGTTGTTCGCCTAGTTTAGGTTTTATAATCTGTATTTTTATATTATATAGAATATAATGTTTGAAGGCTAGAATCAGATCCTTGCTCAATTTTTTAGAACTTTGATGGACTGTCTTGATGAGGAATTTCAAATTTCCTAGGAAGCAGAGCATTTCTATCGGTATTGCAAATTGTAATGTAGATGTAGTAAAAGACCTGATTTTGGTATCTCGGGGGATTAAAGTTCTAATGACAGTTAATTGTTTGGCTCCTCCCTCCTAGTTTATGGATTATCTTTTCTCTAAATGCTTTGTTGATCTGCAAAAGAGCCTTCTCTTCTCTTCCCTATAAAAGATTAATTCTTAAAAAAAAAAAATCATAAATTCAATTACTGAATCACTATTGTATAAAACTTTTATTGGTGTTCCACCCGGAAAGGTAGCCGTCATGCAGATATGTGTGGACAGTAGTCATTGTCATGTTCTGCATCTAATTCATTCCGGAATCCCTCAAAATTTACAGCTTTTGCTTGAAAATCCCGAAGTCATGAAGGTTTCAATTTCTGTTAAACTGGATTTCTTTATCTTGTTTTTTCTTTTATGTCTACGTGAACTAAGTATTATACAAATTTTGATTTGCACAAGGTTGGAGTTGGGATTCACGGTGATGCTACGAAGTTTTTTAGAGATTATAAAATATCTGTTAAAGGTATGATGGATCTTTCTTTTCATGCTAATAAAAAGCTTGGTGGTGATCACAAGTGGGGTCTTTCATCTTTGACAGAAAAACTTTTATCGAAACAGGTATTCTTTGAATCCAAATTTCTTAAATTAGTATCAGTATATATCTAATTACAAATGATATTTATATTTGTTTGCCATAAACAGCTTTAATTACTGTTTAGTACTAGTTCAATAAGATTTTGTTTTCCTCTCAAGAAAACAATGACGAAAATTTAACTTGTGCAGTACTGCACTCAAGGCGTAATTCATCTCTGAATAAACCGTTAATTTTTCCTTCGTAATAAAAGTTAGTTGTACTGTTGTAAGTTCTTTAGTTAATGTTTTATCGGTTTGATTTTCAAGACGCCACATATTTGAAATAGAAAATGACAAAAGTGTATGTCATAAGTAATAAAATGTTTTTCTTTTTGTCTTTCATTTTATTGGTACTAGATTATTGTATTTCTATACTCTCAAAATAGAAATAACCAGTATGTATTTTTGTATGACTACTTGATCATTAACTTTTTTTTATGACCTTTTCATGTTTTATCTCGGGAAGGATATTTAAGAAGCTTGTTATGTTTGCAGCTTAAAAAGCCCAATAAAATAAGACTGGGAAATTGGGAGACTCCTGTTTTGTCAAAGGAGCAACTACAGTACGCTGCAACAGATGCTTTTGCTTCTTGGTGTCTTCATCAGGTACGTACTATTCTTGGATAAACTTTTCAAAAATGTTCTTATGAGAAAAAAAAAACAACTAAAATTTTTCTCATAGCATGAAATCAACTTACATACACCAATTTTTTAAAAGCATAGAATATTAAGGCGCATAATTTGATTTATTTTACCTCTTATTTTCTTTTCATGTTTGACTAAATAGTAAACTCCAACACCAAGATAATTATTAGCCATATAGTAGATTTCAGACTATTAACGTCATCAGTCTTGTCTTCAATTTTATTGACACTTGATTCAGGGAATTGGTTTATTCTTTTGCAGGCAATCAAAGATCTCCCGGAAGCCCAAGAAGTCAAGGACATAAAGGAATGACTACATTCCGTGTTTGTACAGGATTTAATTTTATTAATTTTTTTTTTTTATATGCACTAAGTATATGTTGGATTCCAATATTTTATTTTTCCTTCTTCAACGCCTGTTGAAGGGTAAATACATCCTACAGCAGTAAGATAAGAACGTAGAAACGAAAAGAAATAATGAGAAAAGAAAAAAAAATTGAGGATGTCAGATGGGTGTAGAATTTTAGATGTTTAAGCATCATCTGACAAAGAAATTGAGCAACTTGAAGAGAATATCTATACTTCTTGGCTGATAAGAGATATTATCTCTTTTTAGTAAAGAGAAGATTCAATCCATTTATTATAATCATAAACCTTAAAACAAAAAAATAAACACAGCCTGGATATATAATATATAGACTTTTCTCATTTAGGGATTTTCAAAACATGATCATTACTATTTTCAAAACAACATTAGCAAAAATAAGATGACTAATTAAAATAAATCATGTGCAAAGTTTCAAATATTCAACTCATACTAAAATGTCTCACCAAAGGTTACATGTAATTAGTAATACTCAAAGACTTCCAAACGTATCGAGTTTTTTCATCTGAGACTAAGGTTTACTTGCATCACACTAAAATGCTTACTCAATTGGCTAAACATTGCATTCATTCATTCTTGCACCTCTTAAAAAAAGTCACTCCACTTATAAATGATTGTCTACGAGTGAAAGTTTGATGTATTATTGGTGATAATTACACGATATCATGTCTTATTTAATATTTCTTTCACTTTTACCCTTTGAGCTTATTTATTGCAGGACACTTCATCTATAATTATGGGAACTGATCTGCTACCACTGAAGTTAAGAGGGTGCTTGAAATTAATTTTAAAAAAATTAGTTAATATGCTTAGCTTTTATAAAAATGTATATATATTATTTAATTGCAAAAAGAAGATATGAAGGTTTTAAAATGAGGATGTGAATGGAATGATAGAAAAAAATAAGCATAGGTGGTGATTGTATTTCGATTTAACAGAAGCAAAGGTTGAATATTATTATTATAAAGAAAGGTGTGAGGTAATTAGATGATTGATTGATATAAAGGTTAAGGTTGGGGTGCCGACAGAGGAAAGATGTAGGTGTGAGGTGAGGAGTGAAGATGAATTAACAACATTGAAAACGACAATGCATTGCATTCCATTCCTCACACTTCTCTCCTATCATCTCAATGTTACTCAACCAATCATGTCTCAAACAACCACATCAATCCATGAATAACGCTAACATTAATTCATAGGATCCCCAAGTATGCATCTGTCTTCTGTAATGGTTGATAAGCATCTTCCATTCATTCTTCTTCAAACAATCGTGTTTCTCAGAAATCACAATAATATACTTCAACTCATCTCATTTTTATCCAAATACACGATATATTTTACAAATTTTATTTAAAAAAATCATTTTTTACGCTTATTGTGTTTTATCATCATTATTATTTAGCATTGAAACTTGGTGTTTTGTCAATATGAACAACAACAAAATTCCCTCCTCACATGCTGTGCATAGTTTGTTTACAATAATGACCTCACCGTCATTCATTTAATAATGCGTGCTGTTCTAAATTAATTTTTTGCTGTTTACTTTTTTTTCATAATGTTATTCATATATCTTCATGTTTTCTCTTTCTCCCTTTTTATTATGAATCATTCATGCCTTTTTTTGTATTATTATTATTATTATTATTATTATTATTATTATTATTATTATTATTATTATTATTATTATTATTATTATTATTATTATTATTATTATTATTTTATTTACGTATACCTGAAGTTGAAATGTTGCTCTATAATTCACAAAATTGATGGACTTTGTTAGGATATGAAGAGATGCCTCCTAATTTTTACTATCCTACAAATTTTAAAGACAAATATTTATAATATTGGCCAAAACACCAAAATATAAACATTGTCCCAAAGACAGTAGCAATAAATAATGTATACTCTTTTATGACCTTGGTATCAAGAGCTTGGTTCGTTCTATGACCTTGAAAGTGTGAAGTCAAGAAAATCTTGGAGGTTTCTTTCACGTGGGTCTTCGAAGATCAAGAAGTCGCAGATCAAGAAACCTGTTGAAGAAACGTTTGAAGTGTGGTCAAGAAGTCTGCAAGATTTATCATGACAGGAGGTCTTGGAGGATTGATGTAGGGAGGGTTGCTTGGTGTTCGATGGCAAATCTTTTGGAGATTGGAAGATTAAGATGAAAGAGGTATTCAACTTTCAAGAAGTTGCTGATATTATAGAAAATGGTGTCACAAAAATTGGGAGCAAAACTACGAGAGGAAGAGAAACAAATTTTTTAAGTTTCAACAGAAGATGGATAGCAAGGTTAGGTTCTTGATATATTAGTACGTCGACCCCATGATTTTTAATCAAATTTCAATGGTTAAAACTGCAAAGAAGGCGTGGGAGATACTTGACAAGACCTATGGTGTTGGAGATAAACACGAAAAGGTTAAGTTGCAAGCATTAAGGAGGAAGTTCGAGTTCCTCATGATGGAAGAAACTGAGACTTGTAAGCAGTATCCGAGTAAGGTGCAGGAGTTGGTCAATGCAATCCGAGCATGCAATGACACGAGTTCAGAAGCAGCATATTGTAAACAAGGTATTAAGATCTCTTCCACCAAGTTTTGATCATCTTGTAATTACGATTGAAGAAACGAAAGACTTGGAACATCTTGGGATTCAGGAGCTGCAACATTCCTTGGAGGCCCATGAATACAGACTCAGTGAGAGAAAACATATGCTAGAACAGGTCTTGCAAGCGAGATCGAGTTACAAAATGAAGTCGAAAGGAACCAAGAAGAGTACGAAACAGTCAAAGGGTGCCAACCAAGATGATGCTGCAGGTGATTCAGAGAAAAATAAGAGTATGGCACCAAGAACAATGGAGAGAAAAGCTGGAAATTTGACAAGAAAAAGGTGAAGTGCTATAATTGTCAAAAGCTTGGGCACTTTGCTTGTGAGTGTTGGAAGGGTACAAGGTGAAGTCCAAGAATCAAGCTAACCTAGTTAAAGATGATGCTTCATCAGATTCAGATATAGTAATACTCGTGGCAAAGACCAGTGAAAAAAGTTCAAAAGAATCATCTTCATGGTATATTGATTCCGGTTGTTCTACCCACATGACTGGACGTCGGGATTGGTTCATCAAGTTAAGTGATGCTTCACACGGGAAGATCAGGTTCGCAGATAATCGGAGTCTGCAAGCAGAAGGGAGAGGTTGTGTGGTGTTAATTGATCATGAGAATAGAGAAATCATCATAGATGATCTTCTCTACGTACCCGGATTAAAAACCAACTTGCTAAGTCTCGGGCAGCTTCTACAGAGAGGGTCCTTCATGGAGTTGAAGGAGAATGAGCTTAACATATTTGATCAAGATAAAAGGTTGGTGATTCATGTCAAACTCTCGGATAATAGAACGTTTAGAATGGGGATGAGCACACGTAAACATGAGTGTTTTGCTTCCGTGGTTGATGATGGAGAATGACTATGGCACAACGAGGTTTGGGCACCTCAATTTCCATGATTTGTATGGACTCAGTAATGATAATCTTGTTACAGGGTTACCACAAATCAAAATACTAGAAGAAGTTTGCTCAGAATGCATCCAGTGCAAGCAAACTAGGTTGCGCTTCAAGAAATTTGTTGGTGGAAAAGCAACCAAGAAGCTCGGGAGTTGTGTATACCGATGTTTGTGGTCCTATGCAGGTCACAACTCCAGGAGGGAACAAATACATACTCACATTCATCGATGAATACACACGAAAATTGTGGATGTATTTGCTTGCACAAAAAAGTGACGTTCAAGAATTGTTTGAAAAGTTTGTCAGGATGGTCGAGAGGCAGAGTGGGGAGAAGTTGAAGGTCTTGCGTAGTGATGGAGGTGGTGAGTATTCATCAATGAACTTCAGCTCATTTTGTGAGAAGGAGGGAATAATTCCTGAGAAGACTCCGCCTTATACCCCCCAACATAATGGAACTGCGGAACGTATGAATAGGACATTGCTAAACATGATACAGTGCATGTTGAAGGGAAAGAATGTGTCAAACTAGTTCTGGGGAGAGACAACCGTTATTGTTGCACACATGTTGAACCATGCACCAACAAAACGTCTAGAGGTGACACCAGAAGAAGCCTGGACAGGTGTCAAACCAAGTGTTTCACACTTCAAAATTTTTGGATCCATGTGCTATAAGCATGTGCCAAACCCACTAAGGAGAAAGCTCGATGACAAAGGCACACTCGCATGTGTTCATTGGTTATCATGTAACAGGGGATACAAGTTGTTTGATCCTGCCACGAAACAGGTTTCAATTAGTCGTGATGTTACGTTCAATGAGGCAAGCGAGTTGGTCATGGGATCGTGTTGAAAAAGAAGAAAGCACTACAAAAGTGACTTTCAATGAAGAAACCGACTCATAAGATCGGAATCGAGGTGAAGCGTTCCTTCACGTCTGAGGGACTACGAAATCTTTGATGATTCAGCAGTAACAATGGATGGGAGCTTGATTCATTTTGCGTTGATTGCAGTAGAGGCAGAACCCGTAGAATTTGAAGAAGCAGTGAAGAATCCTCACTGGCTGAGTGCAATGGAAGAAGAGATTAACTTCATCGAGAAGAACCAAACTTGGGAACTTGTCTCACTACCACCTGGTAAGAAGCTCATTGCGCTCAAGTGGGTCTATAAGTCGAAGATGAATCCTAATGGAGAGATTTTGCGCTATAAAGCGAGGCTCGTCGCCAAAGGGTTCTTGCAGAGAGCAAGGATAAACTACAGTGAGGTTTATGCACCTGTTGCTCGACTGGAGACGATTAGATTAGTGGTTGGTTTTGCCATAAACTCTAACTCGGCCACTACATCGGTTAGATGTTAAATCTGCCTTTCTCAATGGTCCACTTGGAGGAGGAGGTTTATGTAAAGCAACCCAGTGGCTTTGAACATCAGGAGAAAAAAACAAAGTTTATAAATTGAAGAAGGCTCTATACGAGCTTAGCGAGACACTAAGAGCGTGGAATAAACACATTGACACATTCCTTGAGCAGATTGGGTTCATCAAGTGTAAATCGGAGCACGATGTTTACGTGAAAATGCAGCAACACAACAATGAGAAAGTCATTATTTGCCTATATGTTGACGATCTCCTGGTCACTTGGAAGCACTGAGAAGTTGATTTGTGAGTGCAAGCGTGATCTCCTTTCAGAATTTGAAATGACTGATCTGAGAAACTTGAGTTACTTCCTTGGCATAGAGTTCAAGAGAATACCCACTGGGATGTTGCTACATCGGACGAAGTATGCGAGTGACTTAGTAAAGAGATTTGGGATGCATCGGAGTAACTCTGCAAGCACCCCTACAGAGTCGGGATTGAAGCTTGAGCTAAGTCCTGACAAAGAAAACGTGGATCAAGCGCAATATAGAAGTATCGTGGGCAGCCTGAGATACCTTTGCAACACCAGACCAGATCTTAGTTTGAGTGTTGGCTTGATTGAAACTAGGAATCATGCTTGCCAAAGGAGAAAACAAACTGGTTGGGTTCACTGACGCTAATTGGAGTGGTGATAGGGATGATAGAAAGAGTATGGTTGGGTATGTGTTTTTTCTTGGAAGAGCATCAATCTCTTGGAGCTCTACGAAAGAACCCATCGTAGCTCTTTCAAGTTACGAAGCTGAATATGTTGCAGCATCCAATGCAGCATGCCAAGGAATCTGGTTGACAACACTGATGAGAGAATTGGGAGTTGAACAGGTGCAAAAGATGAAGTTATTGATTGATAATCAATCAGCAATAAGTCTCGTAAAGCATCCAGCTCTACATGGTAGGAGTAAACATATAGAACTTAAATATCATTTCATTCGGAAGCAAGTGGCAGCTAGGAAGCTAGAGATTGATTACTACAAATGTGAGGAACAAGTCGCGGATGTTTTAACAAAACCTTTGAAAAATGAAAAATTCAAACATTTCAGAGATAATCTTGTTTAATTAATTGTTATCATTTGTTTAGGAGGACTTGCGTCGTGCTAAGCATAAAAAGCAACCTATTATTGATGAGGATCTGACAGAATGTGATGATGATCCCATCTCTATGTTGTTAGCCGTATTACCACGGTTGAGGAAGAGACCGTGTCAGATACAATGGGATGTTAGAGTGTTTGGAATTGACAATTCCAGTGTTCCATTGTACATTTCCTTGCCCGATGCTTTAGAAATTGCTGGGGGAAATTGCATGTTAAACATTTCCATCATACAATTGTGGGCAATGTAAGTCATTTTCATTTATGTTTCTAAGATTATAATAATTATATTCAACTTATAATTAATTGTTTTAGGTACCTTGACAATTTGAGTGTGGAACAAGAAAAATCCGAAGTATACGGATTTATTGAGCCTCAATCCATCCAAAAATCTGGAAATACAAAGGTTGGAATCCAACAATATATGCAAACATGGATGAGTGACTCAAGAAGACATATATATTTGGCTCCATACATTGAAGGGTTAGTATTTTGATTTGTATTTTAATTTATATTTTTGTAACTAATTTTTATGTCATACAATGTAGGTCCCATTGGCAGTTAATTGTAATCATACCCCGGGATTACACTGTGGTATGGTTTTGTTCATTACATCGGAAACCGAGTCAAGAAATGAAAAGCTTATTACAAGGGTAACTTTATCTTTTATTCATTAATTATGTTTTTAAATTGTGAATACATATTGAATAATATATGACTTTTTTTCACTTAGAATCGTGTCTGGAACTAATGTTCTAAGTGGAAAACCTAGAACAAAGACATTGCAGTTCATTTATCCTAAGGTTAGAAACTTATTTATATAAGTGAATACCATAATTATTGTTTATATTTCAATTTTGAAAATAATATTATGTTTTTTTCATCATTTCGAGTGTAATAAGCAAACTGACTCGTTTGAATGTGGTTACTATGTAATGTATTGGATGAGAGTCATAGTTTGTGCGGGTTTAATTGATTCTTGGACTGAGGTAATTACTTTTAACATTAGTTAAGTTTATTTAACTTTATTCATGTTGCATGCTTACAAGAGTCAAATTCATGTTTCAGGTATTTCAAGATCCATCTCCATTACCAGAATCTGAGATTACGTAAATTAGAGAACAATGGGCAAAATTTTTTGTTCTACAATTCTAGTACATTATTTTTTATGTTCTTGTTCATATTATATTGTGTGTATTATGTAGTTTAGTTTAGTTTGTATAGGTAGCTTAGTTTGTATAGGTAGCTTAGTTTGTAATAGATTTTTTAGTTTGTATGTTTGTATTATTTTGTTTTATTATGTAGTTTGAATTATATAATATTATATTTTTAATTTACTAGCAAAAGAAAACTCGCTCGGATCTGTCTGGTTGTAATTTTTGCAGGTTTTAGTTGTAAAACAGAGTAAATAAACCCAATTTAAAAAAACAAGTAAATTTACGTCGCATATTGGTATATACGACGTAAATTTACGTCGCATATACCAATATGCGACGTAAATTTACGTCGCATATACCATATGCGACGTAAATTTACGTCGCATATTGGTATATGCGACGTAAATTTACGTCGTATATACCAATATGCGACGTAAATTTACGTCGTATATACTGTATGCGACGTAAATTTTCTGCTTTTTTTTAAATTGAAAAGGTTTTTACGTCTGTTTATTGTATATGCCACGCAAAATTACGTCGTATCTTCATAACTGACGTAAATCTACGTCGGGTAAAAGGGTCCGACGTAAATTTACGTCTCCCGCTTTTACGTCGGACTTAAATACGACGTAAAAAGCCCTAAATACCTGACGTAAAAGCCCCTTTTTGCACTAGTGACTGCATGTAAAAGTTATGCTAGTACATAAATGCCAGCATACGTAATATATATATATATATATATATATATATATATATATATATATATATATATATATATATATATATATATATAAAAGAAATAAAAGAAAAAAAAAACAATGTGAAAAAAAAAATCATCATAAATGATTGTTGGTGTAATTAAGACGTTGTATCAACATGTTGAAGTATATAGAAGGGTTACACCAAAAAATAATTACCATCATAATCAACTCCCATAGAACAAATGTTCTGTTAACTTCCATTTAAAGTAATAATTAGCTTACTATAATAAGCTATAAATTTTTTTTTATCAAATTCCTAAAGTTGTATTTGTGTAATTGCATATACCAAAAGTTAATAAACTGAAATATGTATTTTACACCTGATTTTCTGATTCTAAAGAAATAATGCTACACAGTCAAAATGTCTTAAACATTGACTTCTTCTCTTCTTCTTTTTTCACTCTCTGATTCTCATAGGATGCTCTTCTTCAAAATTATTATATTTATACAGCTATTTTCTGGCTTTTCTCATACAACCAAAATAAAAAGTGGGAAGTATGATGATTTATGGATCCGGTGAATGCTATGGAATGGAATAAAGGAACAACCCATAGCATAAATCCCATAATAGATGAAGCCAAAAATAATATTTACATTCAATGAAAAACTTGGCTACATTAAGTAAGATGTTACTGATAATTACATATATTTTATAAAGAATTTGAAAGTGAATACTTAACATAACATACCCAACACTATATTAAAGATTATAGAACAAATATGAATATAAGTTCATGTTAATAAATCAATTTATATGTCATTTGTAAATTATAATTAAATGGTATATTTTAGAAAAATGTATATCCATTTTGTCACACCCTCACTTGATTTTCCACGTGTAAAAAAAGAATAGAAATGTGGTGTACATAAATTTAATAGGCAAGTGGGGTTCCATAGCCAATTAATTGATGAGACATGGAGCTGATGCATCGAATCCGAAGCTATGGAACTCAGTTAAGAGTGGCTATGGGATAGAAGAATGAAACAAATTCACATAAATTTGTAAACTTTTTCTTTGATTACAGCATTCAATCGTGATGACTGGAAAATGTTAAATGAGCATAGAACAATCAGTTTCCACAAATACAAGAAACTACATGAAGACAAATATGAAAGCGCTGCGTACTAAACTCTCAACACTGTCGGTGCCTAATTAATGTCTAGGCAGTGTGGTATTAAGCTTGAAAATCAGTGAATTGAGAAAAAAAAGTCACCAAACGATGGTGTTAGAGATGTTTATGAACGTGGCAGAAGCATTAAAAAAAGAAAGTTGACTTAAAGTAAAACGAAGGTGGAGAAATGGGAAATAGCCGAACCCCTCCATTTGGAATGGCGATGGAAGAGAGTTGACATGTTGGCAGGTGTAGAGCACATGGTGGGAGTATTTGGTGATTGGAGACTGACAATGGCAATGTGAACGCGTAGGTATGAGAATAAGTTAAGTTGGCAATATCCATGTTAAATTATTACTGCCATAGATACTCGGAGTTTCCATCTCTTCCATGAGACGAGTGTGATAGTAAGAGAAAGAGAAAGAGAAAGCGAGTGGGATCCAACCAACACCAACCTGCATCTTCTTCTCTCTCTCTCCCTACCCTTTATATCATCGCTCTTTTCAGACCCTTCAAATTCAGGGCTAAACCTCTCTCTCATCTCTCTCTCTCTCTCACACACACAAACAGCATAAGCTGAAACACGTAACAAAGCAAAGTGGAGGATGATGGATCGAATGGGTTGTGCAGCAGACACGAGCAAGAGCATAAAGCTGGAGAGGTACAACAGCTACATAAGGAGAGTCAACAGCACCAAGCTCCTTAACGCCTCCTCCAAGCTCCTCTTCCGGGCCACCCTCCTCGTCGCACTCATCCTCGTCTTCATATTCACCTTCAACTACCCTCCCCTCGCCGACACCACCCACCGCCATCTCCACGCCCACTCCCACTTCCTCTCCTCCGCATTCGGCGCCTGGGAGAAGCAGGTCCGCCATTCCTCCACCCCCCGACGCCCCAATGGCCTCACCGTCCTCGTCACCGGCGCCGCTGGCTTCGTCGGCACCCACTGCTCCCTCGCCCTGAAAAAGCGCGGCGATGGCGTCCTGGGCCTTGACAATTTCAACTCCTACTACGACCCCTCCCTGAAGCGCGCCCGCCAAGCAATGCTGAGCAAGCACCAGGTCTTCATCGTGGAAGGCGACCTCAACGACAAGCCCTTGCTGGAGAAGCTCTTCGACGTGGTGGCCTTCACCCACATCCTCCACCTGGCCGCCCAGGCCGGCGTCCGCTACGCCATGCAGAACCCCCAATCCTACGTCACCGCCAACATTGCGGGCTTCGTCAACCTTCTCGAAGTTGCCAAATCCGCCAACCCCCAACCCTCCATCGTGTGGGCTTCCTCCAGCTCCGTTTACGGCCTCAACACCGAGAACCCCTTTTCGGAACTCCACCGGACGGACCAACCGGCCAGCCTCTACGCCGCGACGAAGAAAGCCGGGGAGGAAATCGCGCACACCTACAACCACATTTACGGTCTCTCCCTGACCGGACTCCGGTTCTTCACCGTGTACGGGCCGTGGGGGAGACCCGACATGGCTTACTTTTTCTTCACGAAGGACATCCTCCAGGGGAAGAGCATCGACGTGTACGAGACGCAGGATGGGAAGCAGGTGGCGCGTGACTTCACGTACATCGACGACATCGTGAAGGGTTGCCTCGGGGCTCTGGACACGGCGGAGAAGAGCACCGGGAGCGGGGGGAAGAAGCGTGGGCCAGCCCAGTTGAGGGTTTACAATCTGGGCAACACCTCTCCCGTCCCCGTGGGGAGGTTGGTCTCCATTCTGGAAGGGTTGCTGAACACGAAGGCCAAAAAGCACGTCATCAAGATGCCCTCAAACGGTGACGTTCCCTACACCCACGCGAATGTGAGCTTGGCCTTCAGAGATTTCGCTTACAAACCCACCACCGATCTCCCCACCGGTCTCAGGAAGTTCGTCAAGTGGTATGTCGGTTATTACGGCCTCCAACAAAGGGTCAAAAGGGAAACTCGTCTTGACAATTGATCACCACCGTTTCCAACATATCTCTTCTCATCATTTTCTTGTTTTCTTTCATTATTACTGTTATTATTTTTTGTTAATTATTATTGTCGCGGTCCTTTCCATGGACCCAAATGTCGGTGTAGCAATTATACACATATAAATATCTGGTATAGATGAAGCACATAAATGTGAAGAAGTGTATGTACTGTAGATCTGTCACACAGAGCCAAAGAGAAAGAGAAAGAAAAAGAGAAAGCGAGGTGTAATAATGGCGGGTGGGGTCTGCCACAAAGGTTGCAGATCTCTCCCCTTATTTATCCATCCCTATATTTTCATTTCACAACACGAACAAAAAATAAGAATCATGTTCTGCTATTGAATTACAAACCTTTTCTCTCTTTGTATGTCTCTGTTATTGTTATTATTATTATTATTTACAGTTACAGCTTGCCCTTCTTTTGCCTCATCATTGGATCCCATTATTTTTATTTGGACTTTTGAAGATGCTTTCATGTCATTAATCGAAGAAGGTACTTCTACTTTCAAAATACTGCTGCTTCATTGCCCTAAACATGAATCATCTCTTCCACCCAACGCAGATGCCGTTAGGAACACATAACACAATTCGGTGCTCCTCAATTATCTGCTTCTTTCCATCATATCCTATCCCCTTTCCTTTTCAATACTTTATTTTTCTCTTTCACAACTCACCACCTACATTTTACTTCCTATATTCCTTTTTCTTTTTATTCGTGTAGAAGGATAAAGTGTTTTCCCTACAACATTACCTACATTTGTACAATCATAAATTAAAGTATCTCAAGCAGCACGAGACACTTAACTTATCTTCTTTCCACGTACATTTTAGCTTCTTTATTTCTTAACAATAATAATAATAATAATAATAATTATTCCGTGGATAATTTGAGCCCTTAATTAATGGAAGATTATGGAGAAGGGTGAGGCAGTTGATTTAGAAGAAAGAGTGTTCAAAATCGCCATTTGCGTGTTAAATGACTTAGATACATGTTAGGTTAATCCACATATTGTCAATTAGTTTTATGTTGGAAGCTTAACATGGTATCAGACCTAAAGCCTAACATCTTTCCGGTTATTGTCATGGGTCAAAAGTTACCCTTTAGTTGAGTCAAAAATATCCTTTGTCTGGTCCGACAAACTTCGTTGGAGGGTGTGTTGAAAGTCCCACATCGCCTATCTCATGTCATTTGTTATGGTTTAAATATATGTTAAACTAATCTACGTATTATCAATTGATTGGTTTTATGTCTACGTATTATCAATTGCTTTTATATTGCAAATGACAGATTACTTGAAAGTTGAAAGTTGCGGTAGCATACATGGATGAAGTTAAAGACTTGCGCCTTAAAAAAGAGCATTATTATTGAAAGTAAAGATTTTCAGAATCTAATTAAATAATTTTGATTCCCTCTTTCCTTTCACTCTATGTTTACTACTGCTTACTTACTACTCCATTATTTCAATGTGCAATAATGTTATTGTACAGCAAGTCATATAATAAATTGTGTAACAAAGACAAAGAGAGAGATCAAATTATGAAACAATGCTGCATGAATAGTATAACTCAATTATTTACTATCGAAGTGAAGTTGGTGTAGCTTTAACCCTAAACCTAAAAAAAAAGAAAAAAAAGTAAAGAATTCACATGTACAGATTTCCACGATTAGCTAGTTGCAGCAGAGTAAAGACATGTCCCGGGACATGCATAATAGATATGTATATATGTGTCACAAGCTTCTTGTCGAATAGAGCTTTTAAACTTTGCATCACATGGTGATTGCTTCTTGAGAAACGAAACATCAAATTTTTATGATAGGGGTGATTATAAATCATGTTGTTAGAAAGTGAATAGAGGGATGGATGTTTATCAGTAAGTGCGTGTGAGAATAATGGGGTATGTGTGTGTAAAGTTTGAGGAAATGGAAGAATTTGAAAGGTAACGAAGAAGACCAATACGCGTGGACTGCGATCATGTTATTTAATATTTTCTTCATTTGCCACTGTCATTGCCAACTTGCCCTAAACTTCCTCCATCGCAGCTGCTACTGAATGAATGGTTTGTTTGTGATCCATGACATGTAATGGAACACAAACTCACTCCATTTCAACCTTAAATTTGTTAATTGCCGTTTATGTGGACCTAATATTACGCGTTTCAATTACAATTTTACTTCTAATATTTTAATAAATAATAATATCTTTGGATATAAGGGAATCTTGGATCATTCTATTCTTTATCCCATTTTGAATTTGGATTTTAAAATTTAAATTTCCGCATAACTTATTCGAAGTTGAAATTTTTTTCTTTCTTTTTTTTACAAACAAAATACTAGTACAGTATGTGGGTGAATTTACTCTTTTAAAAAAGAAATAGAAATATCTAATTGAGAACCCAAGTCTTGAAATTGTTTTGAGTAAAATATGATATACGTTTAGAAAGATTGGAAATTTTATCTGAATAAGTGAAAAGAGTTGACCACCGGGGTCTTCAGATTATTATGAATGAATCAGCTACCATATATCTTTAAGATTGGTGGCAAGGGTAGGTGACATTCCAGTACTTCAGCACCGAAATAGTTTTTAATAGATATGTCTTTTACCTTTATTTTGAAGTACTTTATAAAATAAAAAATAATATTTTAATAACTTTATTTATTTACAATATTAATTAATTAATAAATGGTTTAATAAAATGATGTTATCTATTTTAGAATACATATTATGAAATGTCTTCATTTTAATTTTATATTTCTTCGTTTATACCATTTAATCACATAATATTAAGATTAATATATTATTATACAATAAATAGAATCGACAAGATGTGATCCAATATATATAATATATATCAATCCTAATTGAAGTCAAAAAGTAGAAAGAGAAAGAGAGAGATTTTGTGATATGAGCATGTGTATACAGTTGTTTTTCTTTTATAATTTTGTCGGTCTTCTTTTCTTATTTAAATGTGAAAGGAGACCTTTTAGCAAAGAAGTGAGGGCATAGTTTACTTTTATGAAGTTTATAATATAATTGTAGTGTATGAAGTTTTGCAAAGATGCCAAACTTGGTTGCTTAATGCATGCATGATCTAGCTAGTATATTTTCTATGACTAACACAACGAAATATATGGGTTTGGTTAAATTTGACAGAATAATTGTTGCTACTAAAAGAACTTCTGTCATAGTTTATAAATTAATGAAATCATAAACGATGGTCACATAACCTTGGAACAAAGTTTGTGTGCACTTAGCAAGGGATTAAGGGTGCGTTAAACCAAGCACAGAGAAACGCAAAAGGAAATACAAGGATGGTTAGAGAGTAAAATAATGCGGTGGTGATGTGATATTGACATAAGTGGACAAATATGGGAATTGAGAGGGAGAAGGACACTCGACCAACCACGTTGCGGAAGTGCAAATATAGTGAGTGAAAGAATTGATATAACTAAAGCTTTGGTTTGATGGCATAAGAATAAGAATAAGAATAGGCATAGGGACATAAGCACATGTCCCACCGACACTCACTCCCCATTCCATCCACCCAAACTATTCACAAGCCTTATGATCACAATTTATACACTTTTAACTTATTTACGTTTTATCTATTAATGCTTTTTCGGAAAATTGGGTGCTAAGAAATCCATTATGAAGTATATTTTCTGTGCTTTTATAATCATGAATAACGAGAAATAAAATTAAAAAATAATTTCATGCGCATCACACAATTGCAAAGCTTTGACTATACAAGAAAACACGACAAACTGCAAAGCCGCCCGTCACGGAACTATCTCTTTCTATAAATTTTAATAATTGGCTTCTCGAAGAAAACAATATAAAATATACATTTAATGCATTTCATAGCTATAACTTAGTTTATAACTTCAATTTAAATTACTAAATTTATATTTAAGAACAATTTATTACTTACAACATTTTTCAACCGAGTTAATATACAATTTTTTTTATCACTCATACATTCAGTTTTTATATCATTTTTAAAAATTAATCAGCCATTCTGTTCTATTTTATTCAATTTCAATGTTTATTAATTATCAAACAACCACATCATAAAAAGTGATTAAATAAGGTTCAAGTAAACTAAATGGTGATATTAAATATAAATATATAAGATAAAAAGGTTTGGATAAAGAGATTCAAACCAGTGTAATCACTGATTGTTCAGTGGGCTTGTTGAATTTTAAGGCATACATAAAACTAAGAAGGCAACAAACCCATATTCAGATTGAAAACTAATTAATAATTCGACCCAACATGCACATTGCCCATAATCGATCCAAATAGATGTTTTAAAACATCATAGAATAACAAAAACCAAGAAATTTTACCGAAGAAAACACGACATTCCACCCATTACTACTTTATCTTAATCGAAGTTCTAGGCATAAATATGAAATCTCAAAACTAGGCAGAGGGCACAGCAAATAAAAATATTGGATCACCAACCGCCACCACGAGAAGCATAACCACCACCACCAGATCGTGGTCCAGCAGGTTTATCATTTGCATAGGATACTCGAATGCTTCGTCCATTAAGATCCTGAAGAAACATAACATGTCAGGTAATTAACAATGACTATAAACAAAGTTAAATATAAACATAAAAGAACACTTACCTGCCCATCCATTGCAGAGAGTGCCGAACTTGCAGACTCATCACTGGAGAAGTTGACAAAACCAAATCCCCTTGATCGTCCAGTGTCTCTATCAGTTATGACTCTAGCTGTGAACCAGACCGCAAGTAGAAGTATGCCAGAACAAAGTATAGAATCATTATTTCACTATCAGTTTTTCAGTACAGGCATGTCATCTCACAAGTAATCTTTTCTAATGTTTACTCCAATTTCGCAAATAATGAAACCAAAAAAGTATTTCGCAGCTATTTGATAATCGATAATATCAAATGCTATGCTAGCTATGATTTTAAGAATCATATACAAGTGAAATGCAGACAGAATGCCATTCTGCAAACAGACTACAGCTGCCAATAAAAATCTAATGGTGCATCAATTGTCAACAGCAGATAGCAAAAACGGCGAAAAGCTGAAACTCTGGTTTTGCAATATGCGGTCTTAGCAAAATTTGCACCATAACGGAGTCACAATAGCAGATTGGAGATTGCTTGCAATGCCATAGTGCTATAACGGCTATACAACAACTCTGCATGTTATAATGAAACAGAGCAAAACTAGAGAACATATGGTAAACTGATGCTAGGTGGCTCCATGACTGAAATTGAACCACCATATAACAACAACGAAAGCAAACTGAACTCACCCTCAACCACGTCTCCAAAACCAGAAAATGCGTCCCTGAGAGACTGGTCATCAACTCCATACGAAAGGCCTAAAATATAAAATATCATATACCAAAATAATAATAATAATAAAAAAGAAATTTAGTGGTTTATATCCATCACTATCTTTCCAAAAAAAAGTCAATACCTCCGATGAAAAGCTTGCTTGAAGACATGCAGCGAATATAATTAAGCATTGATGCAACAGGTGTTTGTGTGCTGCGCGTAGCACCCTGCCTCAAGGCATTTCCAATCTTACTACAAAAAGCCATTATGGTTATTACCTGAACTTGGAGGAACCGTGTTCCTGAAAGCAACAATGAGACCAGTAAGGTGCCGATCGCTAGAACAGAAATACATGATCACGGTAACCACAACACAGCAACCAAATGACAAATTCTAAAAGGTTATAATCCAACACAGCTTTTACCAGTATCGTTTTATTCATTACAATTCGTCAAACGCATAAAACATAAAGGCAAAGAAAGCAGTAACCTTAACAAAAGAAATTAGTGATTATAGGCCACCTATTCTTCTGCTGACCCAGTTTTCAATCCCTAAACCTAAAACTAATCCCCATAGGAAAATCCGATGAACCCCGAAAACCCCAATAAAACGAAAACAGATATCGACAAAAAATGGGGAAACGAAAAAAGAACAGCAAAAGAAGGGAGTTGAATGAATGAGAATGATAGGGTTTAAGGTAAAATAAGAGAAGAAAGACGAAGAAAAATACCAAATGGAAGAAAGAAGAGAGAAGCGGCTGGCTAGGGTTTAAGCTGAAATGACAGTCCCTCTCGTAACGTAGAGGTTTGCAAAACGTCCTTTGTTTTATACAGTGAATGAAGGGTAGATTTATTTATTTATTTACATTGAGGAATTCTTTTAATTAATTTTAAATTCAGAAGGAGTTTATTTCATTTTTTTAATTGTTCCTCGTTATTTATCACTAAGCACATTATTATTTCATCAATTTTACCTCTTAAAATTTTCACACATTTTATGTTCACATATATATGGGTATTAAAGTTTATATAAAAATACATCAAATAGAAACAAATTGTCTTCAACTCACTTTCTTAATATCTATAATTATTTATTTGTTAATTATTCTTTTCCATTTATGAATTCTCAAAATTTTATTTTCAGGTGAGTCTCGACCAATTTTATGTTTATATGTTATTGGTACAGTTCATTCTTCGTTATTATTCATACTTTTGACTCAGAGAGATAATAAATTTTACTTCAGTATAGATCAATCCAACCAAGATATTAAATTTTTAGTAAAAACATTTGAATTTTAGTATTATGAAAGACAATTTGATAATAAAAAAATTTACGATTGTGATTTTTTTCTTCCAATTTTTTCATCAAAAAATTGTTAATAGAATTGATTATTAATCCTTGCTTGATAGAATTGATTATTAAAATAAAAATTAAAGATTTATGATGGGAGTGTGTGTATATTTATTTGGAATTAGAATGAACGAGTGATCCATGTGTGACGTGCGTTTGTGTGGTGACATTGGTGCATAAGAGACAAAAAGGAAGCAAATTGGATGAGCTTGCACCATATCCTCCTCTTCCATTCGGATAATCCACCAAAACATTCCACAAAATTTCTCATCACCCTTTATTTTTAATAAATAAATTAATGGAAAGGTAAGAACACAGGCACACAGGAGCTACGGACTAAGGTGAGTGCCTGCCATTGTTGCACACTAATTAATTAATTAATTAATAATTATAATTAAAACGTATATATTTGATTAAATTAAAGATGTGTTTTCATTTGGGTTGATTGCATGTGTTGATGTTATGCAGTGGATGATAGTGGGTAATGTTTGATTCGTGTGTTCTGTGATCGATCGCCGGTATGAGAATGTTGCCTGTTTGCTCAGCCACCCCGAGTTATTCCACATCTTCCCAGGTCGATATCTATCCATATCTTTTCAATCTTCTTTCTTCACCACCATGCATACCCATCAGACAAAGTTCTCAATTCACCCATGGAAAAATGATGTCATGTCAACTCGTTCTCGCAGATTCCCTTGTTCGGGGGCTTGCACCCGATTCGAAAGGATCTCGAGAGCAGATTTGTGGTTGAAGAAGGCGTGCATCTGGCTTCGCAATATGGAACTCCTTCACTCCGAAATTCATTTGCAGTGCGCGCTGCTACAAAGATGGTCGTGGATAGTTTTTCTTCTACAAGTCAACCGGGAGGATACCTTACAAGCGCACGGGGTTTTTCACCAACAGACGGGCATCATTCACTGAGTAATGGGGAACTCAGACGCATGGAAAGTTTTCATTTATCTTCTGTGCCACAGGAATTCGTGGGCTTAACAGAACAACACTCAAGTGAAGGATCTAATACATTAGTCACACCAGCACAACCAGAAACACTATCAAGTACTGATTTAATACCAGAGAACTTTGCCCCAATGCCTAGTTCAATTAATGTGGACAATGAATCATTAGCCACTACAAAAGCCAGTGTTGGGGACCTTTTCGCCGGAATCAACGACTCATTCAATGCCTCAATCATTCAGGGAGAAAATGCTTTACGAAGCTCACTGGATACAGCCACTTCCTTTGCAGATTCTGTTGTTAAAACTGCTACTAAATCCGTAGATAATGCTTTTGGTAAGGCATTTTCTGCTGTTGATCAAACAGGGGACATAGCAAACAAGAAGCTCACCAGCTTTTCAAGTGGGCTGAGTGGAGTCTCAAATAAAGCACCTGCCGTGGTTATTGATGTGTTGCGCCGCACAATTGTAGCAGTAGAGAGTTCCCTAACAAGTGGGGCTTCGTATGCTGTCTACCTATATGGGTCAGCCAAGGAGGTTCTTCCTGCAGGGATTAGGGACACAGTCAATGTATATGAAGATAAAGCAACAGAAATCTTGAAGCCTGTTGGCTCTGCTACTCAAAGGGTAACATTTACAGAATATCAGAAGTTTCAATAAGATCCTTTACTCTCAACTTTACCAGATTCATAGTTTGCTTAAGAAGTTCTTTGCTCTTATTGGTGATTGAAATATTTTGCATCAGTGTTCTCAACATGCTGCTTCGTTTCACAAACATTTCAAATTTGATGTATGTTTCTAGTCTATTATTAATGTATTATAACAATTTATGCTCCATCCGTAGATATACATGGGTGTCTATTCACTGGAGAAGACTTTTGGCTTGGATCCAAATGACCCAATTATTCCTTTTATTGTTCTTGTAGGATCTTCAGCCACATTATGGTATGTGAATTGCTCCTTCCTGAAAAGTAAATTTTGTTGTTTATCTGTTGGAGATTAAAATTTCCATAAAAAACGCTATCGGTAATAGATTTCATAGATATGCAGGGCCATTTATTGGTTGTGGAAATACGGAGGTTATTCAGGAGATTTGTCCCCTAAATCGGCTTTCGAGCTTTTGTCGGAGGATGCAAATGTTACACTCATTGATGTCCGCAATGAGGCAAGTTACAATTAACTTTTCTGGCTTTTGTTCATATCAGGGAAAAAAGTTGTATAATTTATGAATGTAAAGTCTGACTATCCCTTTGTTTTGATACGCATTCTAATTGTAACTTGAACTATGGTTTCCTCATATTTTTGCAAGTTTTCCTACCATTTCGCATTCATTTGGCTAACTATTTTGATTCCAAGATTGACCAATAAGTCACTGCTCCTTTTTTTCTGCAGGAATTGCGAGAAAAAGATGGCATTCCTGATCTCCGAAGAGCTGCTCGGTTTCGTTATGCTAGTATAACTCCTCTAGAGGTTGGTTTAAAACACAATGATGTTTAAAAGATGTGATTGGAATAATTGTGGTACACGTTATCTTTGTTAAAGGGGACAAATCCAGAATCTTGGTCGCTTGTTAGATGGATTAGCAATTAATTTATAATCTGTCTACTGCTATGTAACATATATGCAATTGTCAGGTTGATGGTTCCCTACGCAAGTTGTTAAAGAGTGGTAGAGACCTCGAAAATTCCTTGATTGCTGCTATTATTCGGAATTTGAAGACTGTTAAGGTGTATATCTTTGTATCTTGGAATAGGGTCTATTGCTCTGGATTAAATTAGTTGAAAGTCCTCAGAATAACCGCAGAAATTTTTTCCCATTTTAGATTTCTTCTACTAGACATTCTTTGGAAAATAGTATATTATACAAGCCCTTCGATTTCTCTCTCTATTTTAATGAGGTGAAAGTGTTGATCCTTAAAAGAGATATCAATGACTACATTCTAAAGTTATATTGTATTTATTAATATTTTATCATTTTAATTTTTTGAGGACATTATAAATGGGTTTTAAGAGTTCTCTATTAATATATAGCGCATCTTTCACAATAGGTTAAAGTTCAAGGTAAGAGTTAATCACATATATTCAATAAGTTGAGTCTGTGTGCCAAAAACTCAATACTTTTCAGATATGATAAAGAATTGGCATGAAAAATGATGTCTCAAAATCTTATTTTCTCTGGCCTTTAGGACAGTTCCAAGGTTATAGTGTTGGATGCTGATGGTACTCGTTCTAAAGGCATTGCAAGATCTTTGAAGAAGATTGGAGTCAAGGCAAGTCTTTTTATACCTGCTGAGAGATATTTGCTGCCAATTTATTGATACATTACATAAAATTCTTGGCTCAGTTAAACTTACATTACAAGATGTGGGATCTAGGTAACAAATAACAGCTTATGCTGCTTCTATATCTGACATAGAATCCTACAAATTGGCATTTGTATAAAAGGTTGGGGTTGAAGAGCTTTGCCCTGAAAAATTCCAGCAAATGTACTCGTACTGTTCCACTGTACTTAGTATTTGATAGTGTCTACTTGATTTCAACCTTAGTGGTATAATTATCATTAATACCAAATGTAATATGATAGTTCTGAATAAAAATGGATTGAAATCATACTGTGAAGTTAAATTATGATGATTTATGAGACAGTTCATGATACTCCAGCAAATGACATGAGGCTTTGATTGCATGACACTGTAAATGGAAAGAAAAATGAATTTGATTGAATTCAAGTTGCCATAATCCATATGTTCAGGCTAACAGTTCGTCCTTCCTTGTCAACACAAATGCTTATTGTCAGATATATTATAGACTGAAACAGCTTGAGTCAAGCGACTTTTCTTTAGCATGGTGGTTTGTGTTGCCAAGGTTGACTGACAGATATATTCTGCACACTCCACTTAATCACCAACTTTGAAATCAAACATATAATGGACTATAAAAGTTAACACTCTGTGTATCGAATTGCAGAATACATACTTGGTTCAAGGTGGCTTTCAGTCTTGGATGAAACAAGGTCTCCGCATCAAAGAACTCAAACCTGAGACTGCACTTTCCATACTCAATGAGGTATTCGTCAAGCTACTGTTGTATATCTGTATCTTTGCTTGAAAACTCCACGGGTTTAAGTGATGGTGCTTCGACTTCTTGCACTGTGAATTTCTGCTCCTTGATGTAAATTAATCATTTGCCTGAAAGCCTAAATTGATTTCTATAGAAAGCTATTGGCTAGCTACCTTTAGTTATTCATCTTTCAGTTTGATTGTCTTTCGAAAGTTGAAACAGAATGTGCAACAACCTATAATTTTCCATTTCATTTTAGTAAAAACTTTAAAGTAGTCCCATGACATTTTATTTATAAATCTTTTTTAGGACAAAGAAGTAAAACTATAAATATCTAATCCAGTAATTGCTTATCTCTGACATTTTGTTGAACAATTAAGATTTCTTCCACCATTTTTTCTATTTATTCTCGTAAGACTTCCTGTGTGTGTGTTAGTTACAAATCCAAAAAACAGAACCTGAAACTTAAGAAAGGTTAGAAAACTAAGAGAGAAAGAGAAAGAAAATACTTCTTTGATGATAGATCAAATGACAAATAGAGAAAAAAGAGAACACTCCGTCCAAAAGTTTCCCATTCAATAAAGGTTTTCCCTTTGAGCTAGTGTTGGTTTCTCCAATATTACCAATTCAGAAGGAATCCTCTTTTACCCCATCCTAATGTTCAAGCTAGCTACCCAACAAATTCTTTCGCTACTCTTGATGACCTAATTCTGTACCTACTCTAACTACTTTGTGTTATCCTTGGTCACATCTACTTCAGTGTTTATGCTTTCGTGGGGAAGACATGTAAACGGTTAAAAGAGAAACTTTAGCTTGATTATATATGTTGGGTTTGATGCACATGCATTTTGGTACATTTACAGGAAGCTGAAGCAATACTAGAGGATGTTAGTCCTTCTCCTGGGCAACTATTAGGTTATGGTACGGTAAGTGGCAATTTCTTGAATGGCATCTTCATAATTTTCCAGCTGTTATTAGTCAATTTGGTTGGCTTCTCTATGTTAATTATTAGTCAATATTTTAAGGTTCATTTTGTTTCGGAGCATGATATGTAGAACACCACCACATGGTAGAAAACAATATTTTAGTGGAGCAACTTGTGTTGAGAAAAGTTAAGGGGAAAAGAATTGATTGCAGTTTCTAGTTATTTAATCTATTATGTTGTTATAACATTTTCATAAGTTTACTTATTGCTGCTTTAGTATGTAAGTAACTGAATATTCCTAAGTAATAGACAATAATCTTAAATAAATATTGTCTACTTCCTTAATACCAGGAAGGGAATCTTTTCTTTCATATTTTTATATGATTTGGAAATGGTTACATGACTGTATTCAATTTATCATCTGCTAATAAATGCAACTACTTTTGGTTCAGGTACTTATTGCAGGGCTGTATGCATTATTAGGTGCGTGTATGTTCTTTCATAAACTATCAATTTGCTAAGAATTTGAAACTTTAATTTTTTTATTGCATCCAAATTCTTTATAGCCTGAGATTGTAGAATTTTTTACATTACAAACATAGATTTGTGTGAAGTTTTTAGTGATTAGTCAAATTTTTCTCACACTATGTTTAAGAAGTTATACAGTTCATGCAAATTCATTTTGTTTTAGTAGAGCTTAAACTGAAGCGAAATACATCGTGCACAAGTGACTTCATGGCTATGATTTTGTTTAATGAAAACCTTCCATCAGTTTATTTTTCACCATCCTCATGAGGGATGAGATTTTTTTTAGTTACCCTGATCTGACAAAGAATATCAATATTATCACAGAGTGGGAGAAGACATTACAATTAATTGGTGCATTTGGTCTCGGTTTGGTATGTTCATTTCCTTTCAGCAAGTGCTTTTCAGTCAAATTGTTTCTTTTTAAAGTTTCAGTGGGATTTTAGTTTATATATCCACTTATGTAGGAAATCATATAGTGGACTCATAATGTTTGTTTGCTGGGAAGAAATTCTCATATTCTGTCGTATTTTATAGTCTCTTGGTCAATAACATAATAACATTAATAACATAATAACATCAATGTTTTTCCATTTCCTCACAAATGGTTTCCTGTATATTCACCAGACCATCTATTTGCGGGCTTCTTCATATGAAAACTCTGAAGATTTAAAACAAGATGTGAGGTATGTGTATACTTCATGATGGATATTTGGTCATATAATCATGAATGTAGTCAGTCTTTTAGTAATTTAAATATTATCTTACGATATATTTTCTATTTTTCACAAGTTACCTTAACATTTAATCCTGGAAGGTCTGTCAAAATCATCTTTATGTTCTGTTCTGAACTATTGGCTATATATCATGAATCATGTTAACTTAATTTACCATTGGGCGGACAAAAAAAGTTAATGATTTTAGACATGTGAAATGATCAGAAAATGTGTTTATATTTTGCCAAAGCTAGACAGATATACATGAACATAGAGTGTATGACACAAATGCAACAGCACTTTTCATTTTGGAATTCATGCAGCTAAACCAACTCTTCAGGCATAATGCTTCTTTTATATTTGGTCTGAGAATGGTAAATAGGTTAACTTAAAAATAACTAGAAAATTTTATTGGAGCAGTGTATTATTTTATAGACATTTTTATTGTGCCCTGTTAAATGATATTAAACGTGACTTGTGCTTAAATATGAATAATACATTAAGACGGTTAAATTCTATACGAACTCAGTGCTTGTTCCAATTGCCCTTAGTTCAACTTCTGTATAGGGAAAAGAGTTTTCAGTCTGCAGTTATGACACCCAGAATATAAATCCTCTGCCAGAAGAATAGAAATTAAAAATTTAACGAATAATCGATCTTCTGTGTAGATCAATATGTTTTTTATTAGAAATAGCCCCTAATAAAAATACCAGTTTCTGTATCCCTTTGCATTTGTACTTTTTCATCTGTTATGAAATTTAATCACATTGTGTTATTTTCTCCTTCGAAGGTTGTTGCTTTCTCCTCTTAGACTAGGAGCTCAAGCATTTTCATGGGCTGCTGGAAAGTTGGAATCAAATGGCTTAGGATTACCTACATCACCTTCATCACTAGATGTTCAGAACCGGGTGTTGCAGGCTGCCGCAAAACATGAATCTCAACCCTCTGACAGTGAAGGTAACCAAGATTCAGTTCCTGAACCGACAGTCCCGCTCAATCAGAATGTATGAGACCATTCCAGATTGTCATGTGCTAACATGAAAGGCAAGGCAGAACAGAGATTAATTTGGTCACATCAATTTAACTTAATTGAAAAGTTAGCAAGTTGACACTATCCAACCTCTTCCAAACACTATGCTGCCAGAAACTCGACTCTGTCCTGCCTGCAGGCATTTTGAAAATATAGGAAAAAAAGAAGTCACAATTCGCAAGGATGATTATGTTTGATGTTGTTGCATGGCAAGCCTCAAGTGCTTAACAAGAATGTAACTATTACCGTTTGTAGTAAAATTTGTGGTGGCGCAACTGATAGTTTTGCAAACTAATCCTTCAATAAACTCGTTGCTGTTATGGTCTTCTACTATCCGATTAGATCGGGATCACCTTGTTAACACGTAGTTTGCTGTGGAAAAACAAGGACGAGCAACAGATTATGTTTATGGAAGACGAATTTTTATAGATACTTTTGAAAGACAATTAAAATGCGTGTACATAGAGCGACAAATGGTCAAATTGTGACTTTGGGATTCCTCAATCAAATAAATCATAAGTTCGCATACATTTTATTTGATAAAAACCAATAGTAGATGTTCACAGTCCTTTGTTGGGTATAGGAATGATGAGATAATGTGATTTTTTCACAAGATTATTGAAACGTATCTTTATGTTTAAAATTATATTCGACAAAAATCTCAAAGGAAAATGATACTTTTACAACCTAAATCCATACAACTCATATAAACAATTATGTTTTAATATTATAATAATAGTTTTATTTTATTTTTATTTTTATTAAATCAGTCTATAAATTATTATATTAATAAAAGTGAATTGTTTGAAGAGTTGTATGGTTTCTGATTGTCAAAATATCACTACTCAATCTCTAGCAAGAAAAATAATTGCAAATAATATTTTAACTCCTCATGTATCTTCTTGTATCAAACTAAAAATACTGATGAATCTTGATTAAGTCTCATGATGTAATGAAAATAGTAGAGATATTCAAAATTGATATTTGGCTTCTATAGATTTTACGAATATGCGAGTGTGTTGCTTGTGGAGTGGAAGTTATAAGAATATTTCTTTGGCATAATTGATTTTTGGAATATCAGTGGATATAAAGTGAGACAAATTGCTCTCAGTCCTACATTTGTTTTTAAATTCAGAATTACTTGTATTTTAGATGGAACTCATTCAGATAATGTATTAGTTATTAGTTGAATAATCAACATAAAATTTATTCACAAGATGATATTGTCTTGTTGATCTAAAATTAAATGAGATACTTTATTAGGGTTAAAGTTTAGTATTTTACTAAGTAGGATAAAAAAATGTTGATTTTATTAAAGGGGTAAAAAAATTTTAATTTTATCTAAATGAGTTAATCATGCATGGTGTGACAAGTTGTCATTGTCACGATGAAATTGTGCTTAAAATTGCAGTGTTGACCATCAATACTAAAATATGTAGTACGTCTTAGTTATATAATTTTTATTTTTATAAAACGTAATTGGTAGCATGAGTTACAAATTATTTATATTAAACTCGTGTTATCTAATCCATGTATTATGCTTTTTTTTTATTTAAAAAAATAAGATTTTTGTTATTTTGTTAAATATATTATTTATTAAATAATTGATTTTTATTGAAGTATTAATTAGAAAATAAACCTATTTAAAAAAAATATAAATAAATTTAATTGAGTATATTTATATTATTTAAAAAAAATTATTTTCAAAATAGATAATGTACATAATTATGTCTTTTCTTTTGATTAAAGTAATATTTTTTTGTTTATTTGAAATGGAGGTAAAAATTGGATTTTCATTACAAAACCGTGTAAATTATTTATTTCGATGGTATATTTATATTATTTTTTAAATAATATAATATTTTAATATAAATATATCTTATATATGGTATTAAATATTTTATTAGTGTCAAGGTTTTAAGAGAGATAAAAATGATTAGAAAAGAATAAAAATATATCTTATTAATATTGTAAGTAATTTTGATCATAATTAAGATAAAATTGAATGCTATAAAATAATTTATAAAATTTAGGAGAAATTGAATGTTAGATAAATTTAGAAGAATTTGAAGAGCGTAGGCAAAAGTAATTTGATGCGTGTAACTGGAAAGGAGCACCGAGGAGAGGACGATAAATGAAAAAAAGAAGGTAGAAGTAATGAATATGTAGTGATTTGAGGGGTTGTTTGTAAATGAATGAAAAGAAGAATCGAATGGTTAGGAATGGAATGAAAGGAAATAAATAGGGGGTTGTGTTTCTGGTTTTGGCTCTGGCATGCATGCGCGCATAGGTAACGAATTTAGCGTTACCTATTGCGTTTGAATGCCCCTCTCTTCCGAGAGAGCATCATCCATCCTCGTAATCTCATTCTAAATCAATTTTGTGATTCATCCTGATGGGGCTGTAGCCACCATACTTGTTGCAGGTTGCCAAGATACAAGGTAAGTCATGGATCTCTTCTTCCTCTTCGATCTCTTCTTCCCCAATCTCTTCCTCCTCAATCTATTCACACACCGCAATGCAGGAAAAGGCATATTCTGGATTGGACACGTCTTGGCCCTGCTGCAAGCTTCATCGGGAATTAACAATTAAGAATGGGGAAAACACAAGATAACGTGGTTGGCCTTATATTGGCTGTCTCTTCCAGCGTCTTCATTGGTTCAAGCTTTATAGTTAAAAAAATGGGTCTTAAAAAGGCTGCCAACAACGGCAAAAGAGCAGGTTCATCTTCTTCCCCTTTCGTATCGTCTTCGTTTCTTATATATTCAAATCTAATCATACTTGTCGTTTCTTTCTTTTCGTTTCATCAGCCACGGGAGGCCATTCCTATCTCTACGAACCCTTTTGGTGGTTCGGAATGATTTCAAGTCAGTCTTTCTTTTCATTTCTCCCGTTTTACCTATTGACGTTTAATTCATACATTTATTACACCCAATCAACTCTGTTGCATTCAAACCTAATTAAGCAATCAATCAATTATCTCTCTTTGCCTTTCACACTATACATACTCATATTCAGAAAATTTCTTCCAATGTAAATATTCTGAAATCAATCAATCAATCAATCACCCAATCTGTAGTGATCGCTGGGGAAATAGCCAATTTCGCCGCTTACGCTTTCGCTCCAGCAATCCTTGTAACTCCTTTGGGAGCTCTAAGCATCATTTTCAGGTAAGCTACATAGATAAATATAGCCTTGTTCATGCAAGAAAGCTAGATGGATTCTATATACATAAGTATATATGTTATGCAGTTCAGTGCTAGCTCACTTCATATTGAAAGAGAGACTGCACATTTTTGGCGTGCTTGGGTGTGCCCTGTGTGTGGTGGGATCTACGACTATTGTTTTGCATGCACCAAAGGAGAAAGACATTCATTCTGTGAAGGAAGTGTGGCACCTTGCTACAGAACCAGGTAATTAAGGCAATGCCATGCCATTCATATATATCTATGTGCTTTTCAATTGATTAATCTTCATTTGCTGCGACACAGGTTTTCTCGTGTACATTTGCATTGTTGCGGTAGTAGTTTTCGTCCTTATTTTCCGATTTGTGCGAACCCATGGGCAGAGTCATATGTTGGTATATATTGGAATATGTTCTCTCACCGGTTCCATTACGGTATATCACTCTGCTGCTCAATGCTTATACCGTAAACTTGTTGGCTCCATCCTTGTTTAATTAGTTTTAAATATTTGCATGCATGCTATATATATATATATATATATATATATATATATATATACATATAGGTTATGGGTGTGAAAGCAGTTGGAATTGCTTTGAAGCTTACATTTGAAGGCTTGAATCAGTTTATTTACTTTGAGACCTGGCTATTTACAGTGGTTGTAGTAGGATGTTGCCTTACGCAGATTAACTACTTGAACAAGGTATTTATATTTTTTTCTCATTATGTCTAAAATTTATTAGGCTTAAGTTCCGATCTAAAAGATTTGTGATAGATGTCAGATCAATAAAAAAAATTATTACTTGAATCAAATTAATTTTGAACTGGTCCATGTTGAATCATTTTATAAAATAATAATAAATCCACTTATTTATTTTTTCATCTAATTTATACATTAAATAAATATATCCAAACATACTTGTATCGTGTCATCATTTCTTTTAATATTTTTTATAAACTTTTGATATTATTCTGAGTTTAAAATTTAATAACTTTTGTTCGTTCAATATAAATTTTATACAAATAAAATTTTAATTTTAATAAAAAGACAACACCAAATTAAGAAATTAATTACATCTTAATTTTGTATTACTTTTAAGGTTTTAAAAAGTAATATTCCACCCGATGTGCTTTTTTTTGTACTTTTTATGCTTTTTTATTTATAGTAGTTTATATAACTTATTATATTTTTTTGTAGATTGTTTTGGGTGAGAAGTTTAACAGGGTAATTTTAAAAAAATTAAAATATTTTATAATGAAACACATTGTTGGACGAAAATTAAAAAAAAAAACTGTAGAATTTTAAGTTTTACTAAATTTTTTTGAAAAAGTTCATACTTTATTTCTCTTCTTTTATTCTTTTCTCTCTCCTTCTCTTTATTCTCTCTCTTTTTCTCCCACTTCTTCCTTCTCTATTTTTCTTCTTTCAATTAATATTGATATAAAGAATGTCAATTTTTATATTTTTAATCATTAAATATTATATAATAATTTAGTTATTCAATATTTAAAATTATCTAATATTCATGTTAGTATTTTCTTACCTATATTGGAAATTAACTTACCCTATCTAAATAAAAAATGAAAGAACTTTACATTAATTTATTGAAACAAATATTTACAAATAAAATAAGTAAAATAAAGAAGAATTCGAATCTCGAGAGATTTGTCCACAAATATTAACTTGTATGATTTGTCCACCATTAAACCTCATGAGATTTTAAGTGATCGTGGTTTCATTCTTTTAATGCTTCTATGATGAGACAAATGCATAGGTGATGATCTTGTATGTACGATATGGAATCTTTAAATTAATTTACGTAGTTATTGTTAATACGCATTAGACTGATTCCCACCTTTCCGTTTTCACTTAAGGATGGAATTACTTTTATGCTATTAATTGCGCACTTACAATAACATTACTTCGCCTCTCTTAATTGGCTATGAATTAAGTGAGATAAATATGTTAAGATATCAGCAGTTGAAGACACCTTACCAGTTTGAATGTAATTTACTTGATTTGGAACGTGTTTGCAGGCTTTGGACACCTTTAACACTGCTGTGGTATCACCAGTTTACTACGTCATGTTCACATCATTTACAATAATCGCCAGCGTTATCATGTTTAAGGTGACTTGTTATCAGCTTTCATGATAGGATACATTTCCTAATTTAATTTAACAGGGTATGCATGGCGATGCTTCATTCATTAAAAACTGTCTCGTTCATCACATTGCATATATCCACTTTTGCACTAGGCAGTCTTAAAACATTAGTATTTTATTGAGAAATGGATTGCAGTAATGAAAATATAAAATAAAAGAGTTATGAGTGGATGCATATTATGTATGTGTGGTGCAGGAATGGGCGAAGCAGGATGCATCGCAGATTGCTACAGAGATGTGTGGGTTTGTGACAATTTTATCAGGGACCTTCCTCCTCCACAGAACTAAGGATATGGGAAGTAAACCCTCGGAAGCCACCATTTATTCAAGTCCAGATCTACTAAATCATCCTGATAATACCAAGACACCTCAAACCGACCAAATTTGAGTCTTTTGTCTCCCAAACAACAACACTTCTCTTTCACACACACATAGATGTACTATCCCCACAAGCTAACAGCTACACCATTTGGTTCTTAACAACCTTGTAATTTCACATCAATTAAAAAGAATCGATGCGCAAGAAGTGCCATGAAAATATGGAAGTTATGTTTCCATAAACCCACAGGTAAGTTAAACATGAAAGATAGTAGTATTATCACAGCTTGTTTTAAAAAAAAATAAAGAAAAAATGTGTAAGGTGAAGGAGAAGGACGCAGTCAAAGTATTTGAAATTGATTACAATAATGATGCCATGTAAATAAATACATGAATTCGCACAAATGACGGTTGCAATGCGTAGTGTAAAACGACGGACGAGAGGCAATAAATGAAACAACCCTTGTTTTAATTACGATCATCAAACCTTCATTTTGTAATTATGAAGTTGCTGATGTTTTAGTTGTGATGTAATTCAATCCCAATTTGGCGTCTTATGTTGTATTCGAAGAAAGAGGTAGCATTCTTTGTAAATGTGCTTTTGGTTGGTAATAAAGAGAGTATCATGCCTGCAAATAGTTTAGTCAAGCATGACCTTCAAATTAAAAGTCCATTGGTTGTACTATCTTGAAAACATACGTCCATTTTCTCCTTACTAATGAATTCTTAGAGTGGAGTATTAAATCCACATGATTTTTAATAACGTTGTTTTCAATTATTAGAAAAAGACATGGAACTTTTTTTTTTCATTGCGTTCTCTTTAAATCGTTATGCTAATATAAGTGTAGTTTGTTTAGCTGTTGATTACATCAAGAGCCTATGGCGCAAATTATGAATCACACTCTTTGGGAAGAATATACGCAACTTCTTAGGTATAAAAAAATTTATATTTTGGGGTGAAAATTTTGTTTGCATATAATTTATATTATAAATATAAATCAATTAAAAGTTATGGGAAATATAATTTTAAAAATAGTTATTTTAAAAATGAAGTACTAAAAAACTTATAAAATTTTAGCTCATGAAACATGATAATTAGTGAAGTTATTTTAATGCGAAAGGTAGAATATGTTGAGCATCGAATTAAGTTAGTGATTGTTTGGTTGATAGTAATCAACATAAAAGTGTTGGGTCCATGTACATGTACTCATGCGGAGGTTGGCATTGGAATGGAATGGAATGAAACATTCACATCTCACCTCCCAACTGCGTTTTCGGTTTTGGACCTGTTCGTTTAAGACTTGTTTAAATAAGAAAATGGATATGGAAAATGATTGATAGATTTGAGTGGAAATAAAGGGGAAGATAGGTTCTTTCTATTAAGAAAGAATAATAAAATGTATAGAAAAAAATGAGAAAAAAGTTTTACGAACGATTTTTATTGATGTGAATGATAAAAAAATATTTTAATAAAAATATTTAAAAATAATTAAATTATCGTTAAATAAAAAGTATTATTGTTAATATAATTTAAAATATTTTAATTATTAATATGATTATTATTAAAATAATTATTAATATTATTATTATTATTATAAAGAAATATAAAATGGTTCTCAGTTACATAAAATAGTTCTCAGTGTACGAATTTAAAAATAAAAAATAACAAAATATTAAAGACTTTCAACACTTTTTATATTATGTATGAGAAGAAAGTTTTTAACTTTCCTTTGCAAATCAACATAAATTAGTTGATACAAACAAAAAAATTATTCGCAAATTATCTTTCATTTCTATTAAACAGTATTTCGGCCGATCCAAACAAAAGTCCATGGATACTAAAATTTATCTTCTCAATTGAAAGAACAAATAATTTTCCTCAGGCATACCTATGAAAGAACCATTTTTTTCCTACTTTGTCAGGTAAAATTGCGTGACACCAAGAAGCATTTCAATCCAGTTTTACAGTATCTTTACCCAAGACAAGACAATTATTTAAAAATCAATTTGACTAAAACAATAAAACAAATGGTTGACATATTATGTCACTTTAAAGACATTAATTTCTCCGTGCTTATTACAATCTAGAGGAAAACTTTTAAATTTAATTCCAGTACAATATCTAATACATTAGCTGTTTCAGACAATTCAAATGTCACATGCATATTTGGCATGACAGTTTCATGTCTAAATTGTAGAATAAACTTTAATCTTTACAAGACATTATAACATTTGCTTCATTACGTAGCAAACGAGTTTCAGCACGTCACGCAATATTTCAACCTCATATAATGGTTCTAATTCTAGAGGTATCTACACTTAATATGATAGATGATATACTGCTGATATCCTTAGCCTGAACTATCATCACCGACCCGAAGATCAAGCTGCAACTGTTCTATAATTACTTTTTCAACAGCATCGACGAAGCTTGATATATTTTGCCGAATACGAGTATCTAAAGAATTGGCCAACTTCTGAAAAATCGATAGCCCAAAGCCAAATCAGCACAAAAATCAGGTCATGATCAGAATAACACTTGAATGCACAATAAAGACATGGGATGAGGAGAAATATCTTAGGTGCCAAACCGCTAAAATGTTGATCATCAGACTGACACGAAACTACATTAGCATACAGTTAATAGATTTTAGGACCCATAATTTTTTTATGCTATGTTAGGATTTTATGTGCTTTGCATGTAGTGTTTTTTATTTTTTATTTTTAGTTTTTAGTTTTTTGGCATTTCGTCCTTAGGTTATGTTTATCAAGTAGGCTGTTATTTTTTCTGCATAATTTCAATAAGAGGAAAATACTAAGCCCCAAGTCGATGTACAGATGAAAAGTTGCCACTGATTTGAGGATTCAAGCAACATTTTATAAACTATGGGAGCAATCTGATTCTAGTTGATAGCTGTCTTATCCATTTTTGTAAGCACTGATTTATCATATTTTTTGAACATTGTTGAGATAAAAAATTTGCGCTCTGTAATATTCAACAAGGCATCATTAAATTGCAGTTATCTCCAAATGAACGAGACATGATTGCAGCACATGTAATTGTATGAAGGAGACTACGACCTGTTTGGGGTCTCTTATTTTATTAAAGGAAACATCCATGGAACTCTCTGCAAGAACGGACTGACTACCTTGGTAATTTTTATGGTTCCTATTTTCACATGACAAACAAGGCTCGTACTTCCATCAATTTAATTTATTTTACAGTTTAGCACAACATCAAATATTAGTAGTAGCCACCAACAATTTTATAATTTCTGAGAAATCCTTACATTATATCACAAGCCCAACATTGAACCTTTTAATTATCCTTAATTCTCTACCCCAGTTTGAATAGTGCAGACACCTAATGTCTTAAATATATGTAATATTGGCACAAGTATAAAATTATTACGACCCAGTTTGAATAAATTTATCCAAAGTGCTTATAGAAGAAAAAATTAAAAGGGTTAAGTGAATTAAGTTTTTTCAAAATGTTGAAATTAACTTTTACACTTCAACTTTATGGAAACGTCTTATCTACCTTCTCTAAAGGTTTAATGTATTAGTTGATTTTAACTTATGAATGAAGTTTGATTCATTTGACTTTTTATTTTCTTCCACAGGGAGAAAGTTATCCAAATAAGATCTATACATGGTTAACATGTCAAGTATAAATCCACCAATATATGGTGTGGTTAAAAGGGATACAACAATGATAACAAAATCTTATCCTACTGAGAGGTCAACTAACGATCACACAAGATCATTCAGTTCAGTTTATCAGAATAAGATAGTAAAATGATACAAAGATGGAAGGATTTACTGTTTCAGCATAAACTTATGTTATTTCCTTTCTCCAAATTTACATCGAACGTTCACGTAGTTTGAGGAAGTGCATTTAAATGTAGGTGGGTTATATTTAAGTTATGCTTGAACCCCTTCAAAATTTGATAACCTCCATCACAACCCTGGTCCCAAAACTGCATTTATATAGACACTTTAGGAGACAATTACTGCATTTAGACTAACATTGGCTAAACCACTGGATTAATTTCTAGTTGTCAAAAGAGATTAAAAATACATCTAGGCTATATGTTCAGCAAACAATTAAGAACGAACATTTTTAGCGTAAAGATACCACATTGCCATCTTTTGTAAATATCCATAAACCACAAGAAAGAATGAAGAATAAATTTGATGGCTAATACAGACTGAAATTCCCTCACCTCAACTTTGCAATGAAAACTTAGAGATGTTCTCTTCAAATCATCTGATCCCTTTATACATATCAGCTTCAACGGAGAACCAAATATAGGCCAACCATGTGACAGCTTTATGTATGCATCAGTTCCTCCAGCCATATGAGCCACAATAGTCTCATCTTTGTCCAAGTATTCAAGCGAATATCTGCATTGACACAAAATATATAAAGTGAACACTAAATGTTGACCCAAATTTAAGAACATCAAAGCCAAACAGTCTCACCTTGATTTATTAGCATCCTTTATTACAAGATTCCTAAGTGTGCTTAGTATAATTCTATCTTGCACTTTCTGTATAAACCACTGCAACGAGGACTTGCTGCATGGTAAATGAATGTCAAGGCATGAGTTGTGGCCACAAGGAATCTGGGACCCATGATTAAGAAAAAAATGAGGACATGGCAAACCTGATAGATTTTGCATAAACAACAATGTCGCTCAGGTATACATCATTTGGGAAAACCTAAATAACAATTCCAAAAAAATCAATAAATCATCTAAAGATAAAAACGACAAATTAAATTAAAAAGTTTATTTTATCATATGCTGCTCTTGAAGCATAAGCAAAGGGAATCATATCAAAACATCCTACAATACAAACTTAAAGGAGATTAGGAAAGAAAAAAGTAAATATGTTGTTGTGTTCTGCCAGGATCACATTAAAAGTATAAAGCAACAGTACTAATGAAGAGAGATAATGATCTATCCTGATGCCTGGACATTCTTTAACTTCATAGTTCCCTCAAAAACTTCAATTAATAACTCATGATTCAGCTCAGATGCATCAATAGTATCTTCTTCAACTCGCAGTTGGTAGGAAATGCCCTCAAATGTTGGCATATAAGTCTGCAATGACAACCTAATGCAATTCTCATCAAATGCAAGCACTTTTAGACCCGTTAATGCATCCTCAATCTGCTCGACAACTTCAAACCTAAAAAGGGTACAAGATGAGCAAGGCGTAACACAGAATTACAAAATAACATTTGAAGTGTAAGTGAAAGTTGAACTCACCACTTGACTGTAAACTGAAGATTCTGCAGAGACTTTACAATCAACTTCATTTCATCAATCTTATTATCAAGTTCAAATTGCTGCAACATATGGACAAAAGAAAATACTCTTTATAAACGTCATATAATCTGCACGTCTTTGAAACTAATTCAATTCCCTAGAAGGAAATAAATAGAAATAGCATGGATTGTCAGTGTCAATAACACCTCTAAATTGTTGTCTAGATTTTCAGCGGCTATATTTGCACAAACATCTGCCAGCTTTGAGGAATCAATGTCTTCATTAGCGTCAGATGTGTTCTTCTGATCCTGTAATTATTACAAGCTAATATCAAAATATGATAACTACGTGACCCCCCCCCGTAGGAAGTAGCAACCTACCTTTGGTGGAATACAATGTAAAGAAAACTCCAGTTCTTCAAGTTTGGCCTCCAAGATAATAGAATCTGGAGAAAGGGGAATAAGAAGTAAAATGTGGAATGATTCATGATATATGTGTGTGTGTGTGTGTGTGTATGAGAGAGAGAGACCATCGTTGTATATTCTTGCAAGAAGGTCAATCTGGTTAGCTACTTGGACGGTTTGAAGGTGGACGTTGTCAAACTCCTCTTGCAAATGGTGTATGTAAGCATCTGGAGTGGAACAATAGTTAAGATTCAATTTCCACACAAAATAAGATGAAATGAACAGAGAGAAGGGAGTAACCGAAAAGAAACCTTGAATTTCGAAAGAAGGGAAGTCGGATACAATCTGTTGCAGTGTGTTCTGCAGGATTGAAATTTGAAAGCGAATGAATAGGAAGCGATGGGGAATTGGGAATAGCAATGAATTGGAAGAAAAACAAGAATGGATAACCTAATCTAACCTGAAGATGAAGAGCACAGTGATTGGGGGTATCCAATTCCAAAGGGTTGAATTCGTGCTCAACATTGCAAAGCTTCTGAATCTGCGCGATTCGACTGAAAGAAACACACAACAAGGGTGACGGAGAGTAGTAATTAGAAGCAGAAGACCCTAAGAGAACGACGGACGAACGAACGAATACCTGCGGAGCTCCGTAGATTCTTCTCTAACCATCTCTCTCTCTCACTCCCACTCTCTTCCGTCGCTTACACAAACAATCGCTGTCAAATTTCAAATTTCTCGTTTCCCCCTTGTCATCTTTAAATATTTCATTTCATTTCTCACTTTATTATTTTTTTATGCTATTCATTCAAATTACCATGGTTAAAAAGATCTCAATAAAATATTCTAATTTACAATTGATTTTTTTTTTATTTATTAGTAAATTCAAGGACAAAGTGATGAAACAAATAATTAATTAATTAATTTCATTTTAAAATGAAGAAACCTAGTCACAGAATGAATTAGACTTTATTCTCCTCAAGTCATAGCGATGGAGAGAAATTAAGAAGTTTGAGTACATAAGGTGACGATGATTGAATGAGGGGAAGAAAGAAAAAGGAGAGAAGAAGAGAAGAAGCTAAAATAACCAGCCTTTACGTGACTTGGGTGCGAACTGTTGCTGCACGACGAGAACAGAAGCACGGGTATCCAAATCTGGAGAAGCGAGAAAATCAGCGATGGCACCTAACTCTGGGAACTCACTCCACTCTGTAAGGCCTTCGGTCTGAGGGGAGTCGATGCCATACCTCCTACCAACGATGAAGAAGTCATTCTCCTTCGCAATCTCACTCAGAAACGCAGCCATCTGAGACCCTTCGGTTGCTATTATTTGTTGATACGTTATGTTCCGTGCATGCCTATGCTTTATTTCTTCCAGCTCCTCCGTTCCATCCCACCCCTTCTCCGCCTTGTACACCACGTGATACACCACAAGGCTCATTTCCTCCTTCATAATTGCTCTCTTTGCTATGCACAGCGCCTCCTCATCATCCTGTCCACCCAAATAAATCACCCCCACTCGTGTTGACGACGCCTCTCTTATTTTATGCGAAGGTCGTGTCACCAGGATTCCCACCGAGCACGGCGCTCTTTCTAGGACCCTACAGTTCAGTGCCCTTCTGCTCCTGTCGTCATATTCAACTTCCCCATCAATGGACCATCTTCGATGAAATGGAAGAATTATTATTGACGCCACCCTGTCAAAGGCAAGGTTGCACACGTCTTCGTACATGAGGTTGGGTGGAGCGATTGCGGTGCAAGGGTATGCCGACACCGCCTGTGGGTTGTCGTGCTCGTAAATGTCGAAAGCAAGAACGACATCGTCTGAGTATGACTTGTGCTGAATCCCTGAAGCTTGCCTCTTAAGACGGTGGGGAATGAAAATTGGCAAGGCTCGTCCCACCAGCTCTATTAGATGCAATACATCCACAACTATTGGGCTTTCTACCGTTGGACAAAACAGGTCAACCACATCTATCATCGACGATATGTGGCTTGGTTTATGAATGCACACCAGCATCCTCAGCTCAGACCAAGGTCTTAAACTCGTCATGTTCCTTTTTTGGTACCCAGCGTATTTTCTTGAAGGGTCGTACAGAAACCTCACAGACCATTGCACAATGCCTGCTACCACAATTATGCTCAGAATCATTATTCCATATGATATCCCATCGATTATCTGCAAGTTTTTATATTACCAATTTTGAATTAGGCATAGACAGATAATATATAATATAATATAATATAATATAATATAATATAATATAATATAGGAAGGGTGCAATCAGTGGAGTACCTTTAGGTCGTATAAGAAGCAGTAGAGGCCGATTTCCACAACGCCTTTGGCGTTCAAAATGAGGGAGAGAGAGAGAGCATCACCGAAGGGCAAGTTGGAATAGAGTGCGGGTATAAGGCAGGATATAATTTTAACCAAGTGGGTGAGGATGACGATGAGAGAGATAGTCAAAACTGATGTGGATGAATAAGTCATGGAGAAATCTGCTTTCAACATGCAGGTAGTGATGAAGATTGGCAATAGGAAGGTGGTACCAAAGAAATTAAGTTTCTTGACCAATGCAGATCCTAGTGGAGGTCCCTCTGGCACAGCCAGTCCCAGAATGAAAGCTCCAAGCACGAATTCTTGGTTTATGCTAACCGAAAGCCAACCTAGCATGAAGAGCAGTACTATGATAACGTAAACGTAACCATCTTTCACAGGTCTTCCTTCTGGAGTATGTTTGATGATCCAAAACATGAGTGGGCGACAAACTAAAGGAACAAAGATGCCCATTGCAAACAAACACAAGACGTTTTTAAAACCCTCATTGCTATTAGATTCCCCAGTAGACATAAAAGCAGTACCGGTGGTGGTAACGATTGTGCACAGTACGTCACTCACCAATGCGGAAGACAATGCCAACTTGCCTAGTTCAGAGTTTTGGATTTGAAGATCATTGAGCAGGGAAGCAACGACGGCAAATGAAATAACAGTGTGGGAGACCAATGCAACAACGAAATGGTCGAAGTTACGGACGACATGACCCAGTCGAAATTGGAATAAGACTACGACAAAACCGATAAGTATGGGTACTACCAATCCCACAATGGCAATGCTCCATGCCCTCTTTCCCATCCTTGTTATCAAGCTGAAATCCATTTGCACACCGTTTATGAAAATGAAAAGGACAAAACCAATGGATGATATTGTTGTGATCGTGTCATGAGTTCCATACGGAAACAGCATCCTCATGTATGTGCCCAGTGGTTCCACCGCAAAAAGAGCTTGCAGAATTAGCCCAGCCTGCGTGTATACAAACAAATGGATGAATTATTGTATGGACGTTACAGAAAAAGCAAAACTTTGTTTAAACATAAACACACGCACCATCATCTGTGAAATGAAGAGTGGGAGTTTCAAGGGCAGGAGGAGGAGACGGCAGATTTGGGTGACGACGAATATTAGAAGGACTTGTAACTCAAACAAGGGGAGAAAAGATTTCATTGGAGACCTTGTATTTGGTTTGCTGCGCCATAACCCATCTGAAACAATATGGGGTGGCGCAGCATAGCATACCTGGTACCTTCGACTCCTTTCATCCACTTCCGTCACTGAGAGGAACGCCGTTTCATTTGCGTAGAAATTCATTTTCCAACTAGTTGATCAAGAATGATGAGATCAATATGAGTATGTATATTGATAACAAAAATGAACTCAACAAATTGATGAGGGGAGTTTGAAAGAGGCAAGTATCATATATATACGTGCTGATGAACTGATGATACAGGTAAGAACAAGTATAAAAATGAACAATTTGACCACCGTTGAGTAGTCAATACAGTAGTTTGCTTTTCCATAAATTGTCAACGTTGTCGCTTGTTTCATTTGATCTGTAAAACAGTTATTACAACTACGCACCATATTATTCTATATTTACATCTTCTAATAATTTCAACCATTTATTCTATAATTAGACAAATACAGACTCAATAAAACATAAGCCACCTCATCAATTAAAATTACCCCATTCTCTTCCCTGTATCTTTCACTAAAACCTCATATCAATCCTGTTTAAAAATAATAATAATAATAATAAACATCTCTCATTTTTAATTATGAAACAAATTATCTTATTTTCGTCTCTATGAATCATTTGTAGTTTATCTCGAATAAAATATTATTTTTCTCTCCATTATTACGACTATATGATTTCAATAACTCAATATTTTTTTTCCTTCAAATTTATAATCCTTCGACCTTTCTTTTTACTGTTTCAACTAATCAACTACATTCCATTATTTTTTTTTCATAAAATCCACGGTCCTTATTTTTCTTCTTTTGTATACGAGACTTAGTTTAAATGGATTTGAGATAAAAAAATTATATATAAGATCCAAGACTAAAAGAATATATAAATTTTAGAAGAGACTTAATAAACAATTGGTCAATATACCATTGCTGTTAGAAAAAAGTGTAATGAACATGTACATTTGAGATAGACCATATATATATATATATATATATATATATATATATATATATATATATATATATATATATATATATATATATATTCACAATTGCATAAAAAAATTTCTAAAACAACTCTAATATATTGAATATAACAATGATAAAAAAAATGAGATAAAATAAAAATAATTTATAATGATAAAAAGATAAAATGAAATAAAAATAAATTTAAATTATTATTATAATATTAAAAGTAGATTGCTTTTAAAAATTATATTTGTTGGGTGGTCAAAATTGGTATTTTTTATTTGAAATTAGTGTTATTACCCGAGACCCCTTCTTGGCAAGACTATATGAACATCATCGGGCATAATGGCACCATCCCTCGACTTAAGAGCCCACTCAAGTTCATATTTTTCTTAAGAAGAGAACTCTGTGGTAAAACAGTTTAGGGATCGGAAACTTTCTGATACACAAGATCTTCTTTCGAGGCAAGTATAGAGCATACTTGCATCTAAGTGAGGAACAATACTAAAAACTATAAGCTTTAAGCTTTCAGAGAAGAGAAAACTTAGAAAGATAACATTTTAGGGAGAGAACTTGTATTGATTTCACTCTATCGTGTTCAGAGTTATAATTTTACAAGCATCCTCTATTTATAGTAAAATCAAACAGGCGGAATCCAAAACTATGCTAAGTTAGATTAAAATTCGGACCAAAAACTTATGTTACAAGGTGAAATCCAAAATAAAATAATAAAATTACGGCCCACACCTCATAATGGCCTTACAAAAGACAAAATAGCATGACTCACACTTTATCATAGTCATACATATAGACAAATGAATAAGATAAGATAAGATTTCGAAAAGATAAGATATGATGGCATATCTCTTCGATTAGAATCAAAGTTGATGGCTTATCCCTTGGAGTAGAAGTAAAGTTGATCCGGACTTATCTTCCTTAACACGTTTGCGGAGATCGCAATAGACACGTGTAAAGATAAGAGAATCGTGTTTTAGTAGCATGTCATAATGATAACCATTAACTAAAGTCTTTACTTTAATCAGATCTGGTGGAACCAGAATAATTCATTTGTTGGGCCTCATTCCTTGTCATGTTTCCATGAAGTGGGTCCCAGTAGGGATACATTTTCTTGTGCATTATCATTTCTTCCATTAGTTCTTCATTGAAATTATCCGCTAGATCTTCAACTCTTTGGAAGGCTTCATCAGGAACATTCATCTCAGTCCTTGATTATTCCAATCTTATTGTCTGAGATCCCTCTTCTTCTGGAACGATCTTGTCCATAGATATGTATCAAAAGGTCTTTGTGATGTACTGGCGATGGTGGGGTCTATTGGCTTGTAGTGGTAGTGATTGATCTCACAGAGATGTTGTGCCAGTTGGTTTCTGTAACTTTCATCAAGAGGATAAGTCTCGAAGGTTCCTCAACAGTATGCTTCATTTCTTGACCATAGTTGACCTGCAGAGTTTAGAAAATATGGACGGTGGATGATAAAGATGGAAGTGCGACCTTTGAGAGTATTTTCCGTGAATCCTTTCTGCATTTGGATGTCAAGGATCTCCTTGAGTTGTTATCTCCACCATGGTAATGGTGAAAACCATTCAAGCAAAGTCCAGAAATGGAAATCATCCTTATAGGGATTTATCAATATGTGATAGGTTGTTTGGGTCTTTAGTGTAATAGGAATGGAGTATTGAATAGTATCACACCATATGGTCCATAATGTGGGTTCACAGAGGTCCCAACCAGGTTCATAGAATAGTTCAAAGATTCCTCCAAAGGGAATATCAAGGTTGAACAAAGAAGATGAGACTATCTTGTATCTCATGATCTTGTGTAGAAAGTAGAAATAGTGAGTTTTAGCATAATGGAGAATATCGGCTAGTGTGGTTGGCTTTAGACCGGGTGGATAGACTTTGATAGTTTTGGCTTTATTCACTACAAGAAAAACATCAAATAGTGACCGAAAATTCGGTCACTAAATCTGCAAAATCGGTTACTAATTAAAATAGTGACCGAAATAGTGACCAACTGGAATCGGTCACTATTTCCTTGGTCACTGATTTCAGTGACCGATTCAGTGACCGAATCAGTGACCGATTATATATAACCAAATCGGTCATCGAATCGGTCACTAAATCAATGAAAAATTAATTCTTTTTATTTATTTACACTTTTATTATATCTATTATTTATTTTCCCTATCTCTTAATTATATTATATTTTGCTTATTTAAGTTTTTATTTATATTTATTTCCCCTATCTTTAGGATATTTTTTAGAAGTTTAACTTATTATTAGGTGGTTTATTGTCATTGTCGGGATTCGAACCCGGTACCTTAGAGTTGGAGGCTGAAACTCCAACCACCGAGCTACTAGGATCTTTTAATAATAACTTACAAATAAATTATATTTATATACAAATAAATGTATATCCGTATAAATATATAAATATAAAATCTATAAATAAAAATATATTTATATATTTTAATATATAAAATCTACAAATAATGGTATATTAGTATAGTATCGTATATTTGTATTCTAATTTTTAATTAAATTAAAATTATGCTAATAATGTATATTAATATATGAGGGGATAATATTGATATATTTGTATATATATATATATATATATATATATATATATATATATATATATATATATATATATTTATATATATTTATATATTTATATATTGATATATTTATATATTAATATATTTATATTTTTATATTTTTATATTTTTATATTTTTATATATTTATATATTGATATATTGATATATTTATTTATATCCTTATACATTTATATCTTTATATATTTATATATTTGAAAAAAATATTAAATTTTAAAAATAATATTATATTTTTAAAAATAAATATTAGAAAAAGATTTAAAAATATATATAAATTATATTTACATTTACAAAATATTAAAGATATATGTTTATATCTTTACATATTTATATATATTTATATGTTTATATTTTTACATATATTTATATCTTTCCATATTTATATATTTATATATAAAGATATTAGTTTTGTATACAAATAATATTATACTATTAGTATAGTATACAAATAATATGTTAGTATAGTATAGTATACAAATTATTAATTTTGTAATTTATATACAATGAAAATAATATAATGGTATATTGGTATAATATATTTGTATTCTAATTTTTAAATAAACTAAAATTACGCTAAATGTATAATAATATATGAGAGGATAATAAATTTAATCCAATTACTTTTATAAATATATAAATATAAAATCTATAAAATATTAAAAATGATATTATATTTTTAAAAACAAATATTAGAAAAAGGTTTAAAAACTAGTATTATCTTAAATTTATTAAAAGTATAATTAAATCTCTATTTTCTTAATTTTTTTTTAAACTTCTCAATTCTACATTTTTGTAAGTTCTATCATTATATTATATCATCCTCATCTCCTCCCATGTTCTACTTTATCTTTACAATAGTCAATATTCTTAACTAATTTATAGTTTTAATTATAATTTTTTAGTATATATTTCAGAAATTAATCAATTCTAATCTATTATTTGAAAAACTAATCAATTCTAATCAATAATTTAGAAAACTAATCGATTATAATTAATTATTTGAAAAAATTATCAAATATGATCGATCATTTCGAAAATATAATCGATCAGAATCAATTATCGCTCGAGCGAGACTAGACTCGCTCAAGCGAAATACAACCAGAGAGTACCAATTTTGTGCAGGGAGCGTTTCGCTCGAGCGAGAAACTTTTCGCTCAAGCGAGATACACTTTAGATAGCGGTTACACAGGAACCGCTCTTAAAAGCTCACTTAGATAGCGGTTAACCGTTGAACCGCTATTATATGGTTTCCATTATGATCGGTCGAATACAATTATGACCGATCATAACTATTTTAATCGATTAAAATATAGTTTCAATCGATTAAAACAATTTCTGCACAGCTGTTTTAATCGATTAAAACTTATTTTTATCAGCTTAAAATAACTTGAAAACTTATATTAACTATTTTTTTTATATTATGTTTTTAAATTTTCTATTAGAAAAAACCTTTTCAGAATTCAAAATGTTAAATACTTTTAAATATTAAAATTAACTTTATCAAAAATTAGGA